CTTCAGCAGACAAATGGCTACACATTTGGAAAAGGTGCTGTAACAGATGCTACTAAGAATGTGTGACTGCTCTCACACAGGAGAAATAGCTTTTTTCAAATGATACTTCACACCTGCAGTTCTTTTAGTCATGTACTAATTGTATTAAAATCAATATTGTGTTAATATCAATGCAGTTATGAAAACAAAATATAAACAAGTCTAGAAATCTACCGTGAAGTAAATTAATAATAAATACAGTATGACTGTTCACACTTGTATTTTCTGATGTCTTTTTTTTGAGCACTAGCTACTTTTAACATTGGGCTAGTTTGTGTAGCATAGTAAGAACCCCCTCCCCCATAACTCCCCATTTAAACATGGAGTCTATGTTGTAATACTTCTTATAATAAACATTATTCTGAAGTACTGTAGTATGTTATGTTTCAGTTATTTCCTACCAAAAAAATCTGATCCTCACATTTCTCATTTAAACATGTGTAATCTCTCCCTCGTTCTCTACACACAAGCCTGACCTGAGGGGACCTTGAAAAAAGCTTAAGAGAGAGACAGAGAGAGAGAACAGTGCAAAGCAAGATGACAGGGATGTGGTTTGGAGTGTTGGAGAAATTTACTAGAAGATCATGCACCACCTGGCCCTGAGGGTGAATCAAATGCTGCATCTAGAAGACCCCTGATCCTGTTGGACTTTTTATTTCAGCCATGGTGCCCAACCCAGGAAATGTTTATTCAAAGACAACTACAGAGTCCATTTTATTCTTTTTTCTTCTATGTTGTTGTTAACAAATTAAATATTCATTCATTCATTCATTCATTCATTCATTCATTCATTCAATTTGTATACGTGTTAAGAGCACTACTCTGGGTGGGTTGCAACTCATAAAATAGAAAACAAAAATAAAATTAGAAATATTTAAACCAACAGCAATGACCCTTAAAAAAAACAGATGGCACCGACTAATCTCAGAGTGGATGAAGGAAAAGAGGGAAGGGGAGGAGAGGAGGGGAGAGGAATAATATTTTTTTTTAAAAGGGGGGGGGAGGAAAGCTGGTCAGCTGGGGTCAGTGTGGAAAGCCTCCCTGAAAAGCAATGTCTTTAATTGCTTCCTAAAAGTCCACAGGGAAGGGGCATATACTGCCTAATTAATCAGATTCACCTTTTCATTAATCAAAATGTTCTAAGACGTCCATTCAAATCAAGTATTGTGCCCATTTTCTTGGAAGTTACCCTCAACGGCAAGTACTTCTGAGTAAAAGCCTACAGCACTCCCAGTCAGGGTAGTTTTACTATGACACTAATGAAGCTTCAGCTTCAGGGCTTCTAATCCTGGAGGAGCACCAGAAGCAACTTTAGTCTACATTGCTTAAAAAAATCAGGGTCTAATGTAAGAGACGTTTTTTAAAAAGTGATAATATAGTGTGATTCAATAAAAAAATAGTTAAAATAAAAATTAAAAGGTTGTTAAAGTATCATGTACACTAGCCGTAAATGAAAAAAAAAGAGCTCAAATTAAGAATTTTGCATTGTAACCATATTTAATATAAAATAATTATAAATAATTTAAAATATTATTAAAATTTATAATACATTAATTCTTTATTAAAATCATTGAAGAAATTGTTAAGAAGACGAAGAATCTGGCTACCCAGATCTCATTACTGGTTGGGAAGGGCCCCTCATAACAGTTCAAGCATAACTCTAGCCGGACTGCCCACTGTAAATATGCCCTTAACAAGATCAAATGCAGTATGATAGCTATTGCTTGTTTCTTCCACATTGATGGGGGGTGCCATGCCCCTTCTGCTACTTGTGTCTAAAGCAAAAACGACATCCCAAGTACTTTTTTGGCATACCTATTTGAGTTGGCACATATAATGCTGAAGTTGAGAAAATACAAGCCACCATTTTGCACCGTATCCTCGGTGTTCCTAACTGCATAGGATACGCAGCCCTATATTTAGAAGCTGGAGTTGGCCAACTGGAAACTAGTGCATGGATCCAGACTCTAAAATTCTGGCTGCGAATGCACTTCTTAGCTGAGCACTGCAACTACGTCTACCATATGCTACCTGATTCCTACATCATTTGTGGCTATTTGTGATCCAACATAAAATTCGCTCCATGGTTATGCCTCTTGGTTCCATTCTAATGCTTGAACAGCAACAGGCCTATAGAGCATCAACTCAGTGACTTTGTGATTCTGAGAAACAAGAGCTTCTGTCCTTAGCAAATAGAACCTGTTCCCCTTTGGCAAGTGGTATCCTTCACCATACAGGTCACCTGCGGGCTATTTAAATATGCTTCAAATACCCTAGGCCTGTAGAGCATTTATGCTCGCAAGAGTACATGTTCTACTATCAGCTTTAAGGCAGATTTCAGGGAACCCCAATAAAGACACTGTCCATGTGAATGTATCCACATACCCTTTTATATTGTACTCTCTATGAACAAATTAGGAGGGACCTGATTCACCCCTTGTTCCATACATTTCAAGGCCACTCAGATAAATGGCTGGTCTTTTACTGTCTGTCTGACTAGAACCCTTATACTGTATAACAGCTCGGATTGCCAACTTTTTCCTGGCTGCAATTGACTTGCAGATGTTTGAACATTGTATATGCTTCTTGTTATCCTGCCCCCCCATTGGCTTTAATTTTGTATTGGTCATACAGTATGACTGTCTTTTTAAAATTTAAAAACCGTTCAAGCTTCAGGGCCCCCCAGAAATGTAGGTCTGCCATTGTATCCTAGTTCCTTTAAACTCATCTCTGGCAACTTCTACATGTTGCCTGCTTGCTCCCCCAAATCCATATTCCACACTTCTTTCCTCCTCCTTCTATAGGTGGTAATTAGGGTCCTTGCTCTGGATTAACACCCGCAGAGGCCACATTTACACATAAGGGGTGTGGAAAGCTGGAGAACAGCCCTTCACTTGGAAAGCAATTCAAGAGATTGGATGGGGTATGGAGTGGGTGAGGACAGACCGACATGCCAGGGTTGGCCCTTGTTGCATGGATGCTATTCAGTCTTGACATGCAAACGTCATCATTAACACAATGCTTGCATGCATTGCTTCACTCACGGTGTTTCGTCACAATTGGGAAGGATTGTTTAGTGCATCAGAATGTGCCTAAGGGCACATTTTGGCATTTTTTCCCCCCAGTCCTCTCACTAGTCCGTTCCTGAATGAAGCAGAATGATATTTTGCTGTTTCTATATAAAAAACTGAGAGAAGTGGAGGATTGCTTTCCCTTTGGGCAGGGTGGAAAAACACCTGTGTTTCTTATTTGGCCTTTAGGGTAAAGACGATTGAGCAATTAGGTTGAGATTCTGAACTGGCCTCCTCTGCCCTTCCCAGAATTACCATAATTTGTCGATCACACCTTAGTTATCTCCTAGTTGTTCTAACTTCCTAATAACCCAGTTTCCAACAGCACCTCATCAATTAGCTTCAATTAGCTGTGGCTAGTTATGCAAGACTTCCAGGAACACCCACAGGAACTTTTCCTGGAAAGTGTGCATAGAAGTACAACTTTGATACATCTTCTTCATTGTAAAGTGGCTTCTGCTTCTTGACATCCATCCTTTTAATTAGTTGTTTCCCTCCACACACTGACCATGCCCTTAATCCATTGGCCCCTTCATTACCTGTTTAGGATTATATTATTGTTTTTACTGTTGCTCTATTTCTGTCCCCATTAATATCTTAAACGCAGTAACAAAGTAAAAAGTAAAATCTGTTAAGTTGTGATAATGTTTCAAAAGTGAAGAGGTGAAGCAGACAACAATATTCCTGTCGCTGAGCCTCAGGGTGTCTCAGGATGCGGTGCCAGTGCACAAAAATGTTTCAAAAGTGAAGAGGTGAAGCAGAAAAACAGTATTCCTGTCGCTGAGCCTCAGGATGCGGTGCCAGTGCACAACATGTCTGGCCTTGCCTCAGGGAAAGGCAACCTTCCCTTAGCCTACTACAGATGTCTATAATTCAGCACCCTTCAGATACTGTACATTGGTCTACTGCTCCTACAGCTTCAGCCACAACTCAAGCAGGCTTCGGATAATGGGAGCTGTGATCCAATGCATCTGTAAGAGGGTGTCCAATTATAAAAAGTTGGAGTAAAACAACCCCTCTCCCAAGGCCCAAGGTCAGCATCCCTTGTTTCCAAGACTTGGGTGGGGAGAGACCAGCACCAGACTTTTCTGGATTTTTACCATTTCTATGCAAGAGTAAGATATGGTGTGACCACATGGAGACCTGTCCCATTGTTTGGTCTTTTCTGGAGATGAGCTGTTTTTTTCTTTGCCCAGCAAAACTCCATGATGTAAGTGCCAATATAAAGTAGCCTGTCCCCAGAGTGTTCCTATGCACACCTTTTTGGGTCCATGTCAGGGGCTATTTTTTTTTCAGGTGTGGATAGAATCACTCCATTTTGGTTCAGTTCCACCATGTGCAATGCTGGGATCAAACCAAAGTGAATGGCTGGCTGCTTTCCATATCCCATCTGATTTCATTTTTCCAGTATTGTTATGTAGATAGCTTAGCCTCTTGAGATGACTGGGGAATTAAATACTTCCTCTGTCCCTCCATAGAAGGAAAGAGGAAGGAAGCAAAACTTGTTTTTTTTCAAAGGCTAGTTGAGCAGTGCTAATGTGCTATACCGTTTAGAATTTTTTAAAAATTGAAAGCTTCCTCCCACAAAGGAGAGAAGACAGGAGAGGGCAAGGAGGATGTCTTCATTTCTTTTTCTTTTCCCTTCAGAGGGAGGTGGGCCAAAAAGGGTCACTTGAAGTGTATATGCCATTGTATGCAAGGACCTCACCAAATGGCATACCACACCTCTTTGTAATCTTAAGACATCCTATTTAGACTGCTCCCGTTTAGCCGTCTAGCCAAGTCCATTGTCTGTACATTTGAGAGAGACAGAGATTCTCAGAGTGTACATTCACTATTCTTGACCTTTCCTACCTGTCCTGATTTGCCTTTATTTTCATTCCTCTGCAGCAGCAAAGAAGAAAGATGAAAAGAAGAAGGAAGTGAAGACGGAACCAAAGAAAGAAGAGCCAAAAGGTGGGTTTTGGAGTCTCACATTGATGCAGCAGAGCACAAGAATGAACAAATGCAGAGAATTATGGTTTTCTCACCATTTTCTTGAATAATAAGATGTTGAGTTTAAAGTAGAAGTGCAATGAATTCATTGCTTAGAACTTAACTTTAAAAAAATTAGACAAAAACATTGTGGCACCTTAAAGACTAACTGTTATATTTTCTTGTGAGATTTCCTGTTGTGGCACCTTAAAGACTGTTATATTTTCTTGTGAGCTTTCTTGTGACCAATCCACTTCTTCAGACATGAGAGAAAGCAGGCCTTGAATTCCCTGAAGCCGGGAGAGTTGGTACATGCTGTAATGTTGCAAAGAGATATACTGTACCATTCATCTTCTCCCAGCCTACGCATTAATTTTCCACATGCTGGGAGGCTGTCCTAGAAAGCGATCAAGCAGATTTCTAAAGGGCATTTTCGATGCTGGGAGGCTGTCCTAGAAAGCGATCAATTCACAAGCAGCATAACTCGCTGCAGCAGATTTCTAAAGGGCATTTTCGGGCTAGTCTGTTTTAATGCAACGAACAGACAAGTTTGTGAGATGATCTCTTTAATTAGAAATACCAGTCCCGCAAGAATTAGGGTTTTGCTGATTCTGCATCCTTCTGTGCAAGGTCTAGTGCAGCACTTAGATCTAGCCGAAAAGGACATCACATCTGTTCAATTATAAGAAGTAAAATTAGATTCTATATGTATTTTAAACCTCTGGCCACACAAGAGAGCTTAGAACCCCTCAGTCTTCAAGCAGAATGCAACTGCGGTGGAAAGAGTCAGCTACCTAGCATAACATATATGCTTGGGTTGCGGTTTTTAGGAGCATGGAATCCAACAGGAAAGAACTAGCTAAATAGAATGCTAAGACTCAGATATTGTTGTCTGTTCCTGCAGGTTAAGAAGGTGCAACTGCCTCTTGTCACAAGGCTGTATTGTGCCCACTAGAATTCACCAGGAGGCACTGCCATGATTTAAGTGGATCAGCAGATGCCACTTTTGCTACAGCTGTTCAAACCGGGAGACAATTATGCAATTCCTTTAATGGTGCATGAGGGCACCTACATCAGAGAGCCTGCAATCTGCAGGATAGAGCACCTCCTTCCTGGAAAAGTTATTTTTATGAGGGTTTCTTTTTCTTTTTTTAATGCAACTGTAGCAAATGTTCATACCCATAGACCGCATATTTGCGGCACACCTCACTGTAGGCACAGCATGAGACGCAGGCGGGATGTGCCAGTGGGATAGCATTCTTTGGACATAAGGGAGAGGATCATGAGCTTGGGAAATTGTCTTTGCCCCCAAAGGTCTCCCAGATGCTTTGGACTACAGCCCCCCATCATCCCCAGCTAGTATGATCTCAGGTCAGCTGTTCACCAAGGCGAGTGGTTCCCAACCTTTGCTAACCGAGGTTTTTTAAGACTGCAAACCATGGCCAGCACAGCAGTTAGTGAAGGCTTTGGGGAACTGCAGTCCAACAGCACCTGAGATACTCAAGGTTGGAAGCCAATAACGTAGGTACTTGGTAGTGAAGGCTTTTGGGAACTGCAGTCCAACAGCAACTGAGATACTCAAGGTTGGAAGGCAATAATCTATGTACCTGAGCAACAGCTTTATGAAATTTCAGGCAGAAAGTTTTCTCATCATCTACTACTACACTTTTAACTATGTTAAAACTGTTAAACCTTGTTTAATATAGTCTTAACCATGTTTAACTGGAACAAACCAACTTTTACCTATATTTCAAGAGGCTTAATTTCAACTAGTAATAATTATGTGACATTAGATCGGTTGTTACTTACAGCAACCCTCTCAGAATTTTCTAGGTATAAACTACTAAGAAGAGATTTGCAAGTTCCTCCTTCTGTTCACTCTTCGAGACAGCTTGCCCAAGGCTGGACAGGTTGCATGGGTCATAACCCCATCCGCCATACAGGCTCTGGATGATCACAGCTGGCCCTTATCCTGGGAGGCACCGTGGGTATTAAAACTCCCAGCCTCTGGCTCCAGGAGCTCCAATCTACTGAGCTATGACGGCACTTAGTATGAACAGCTTATTGTTTGAATATTAAGAGTAAACTGTGGTTGACTGAAAGCGGAAGGAAACACTTTCATTCCCTTTCTTGCAGAAATCTTGAAAGAGTGAAAAAAAGAGGGAAGACCACAGAGACCTAAAGCTCATGCATATAACAATAAACCAGTGTTAATCGTTATGACAAAACTGGGGGAATAAACCTCAGATATGAGTTTTTCTTTCCCGAACATTCACTGCATAAAGACAGTCTGCTCTGCAAGAAGTTTAAACTGAATTATTTAAATTATTCTTGATTTACATCATCCAGAAGGAAAGCAGAAAATGCAAGCTTTCAGCATGCTATGCTACAATTGGAAATCATACTTACAAGAATGGGAAAAAGTTGGAGGCCACCACAAGAGTCTAACACTTTTTCTTTTTGTGTGTGTCCTTTAGCAGATGCTCCGGCAGACCAGGCATCAGAAGGTGAGGCCCAAAAGTAGTAACTCAGAAATAGACAACCTTAACAATGACAAATGAGTGTGTAGAGGTCTTGCTTACTGCAGGTCCCCATGAAATTTCCCATCATAGCATATAGTCATCCTAACAATCCTTCAGTGGATAACATCATAGGAGACTCATTCATGTCCAAGGGTTAAATTAAGGAAAATGCATATTCTCTACAATTAGCCCATTTTTCCTCCCACAACTCAATCACATCAAAGATAAGAGATAAACCATTGTAAGCTGCCTTGAGTCTCTCTAGAGCAGTGGTCCCCAACCTTGGGCCTCCAGATGTTCTTGGACTTCAACTCCCAGAAATCTTGGCCAGCAGAGGTGGTGGTGAAGGCTTCTAGGAGTTGTAGTTCAAGAACATCTGGAGGCCCAAGGTTGGGGACCACTGCCGCAGAGGGTGAAAGATGGGACAGGAATCAAATCAATCAGTGTCTCGAGAATCAAACTTGTAAATTAAATCCATGTTTATCTTCCTGTGGTAAACCACAAAATGAAGCTTGCTGGAATGCAAGAGGTAAGGGAAAGCATGTGCTGCGGTGAGCAGATGTCTTTCACCACTTAAGGAAGCACTACGGCTAATGATGTGCCCACGATATTATCTACTTTGATCCTAAGTTCCCATATGAGCTCTTTTATTAGGGCTGAGGTTCCCTGCACTACAGCATCCATCCTCCTTAGTGTCCTGTGCAATGCTGTATCCCATCATGCTAAAATCACCACATTTCCTCAAAGCTTGCCCGTAAGATGAAATGGGCCACCTTCTTTCTCTTTTTCCCCCCATGTCTTTAGGGGAACAGAAGGGAGAGCCTTCCACTCAGTCTGATGCACTCTTCATCAAGAAACCAGAAAGTGTGTTAACAGAGACTGGTAAGTGACAAAGTTGTGTGGCGGTAGATATTCACAACATTTGACATTCCCACTTCTACTCAGTTCTAAAAAAAGAAGAAGAAGAAGAAGAAGCAGGACAAGGTCCAGGTTCGCCATTTGACAGAGTGAAGTAACCACCCCAGGCACTAGCTGTGTCAGGGGTACCTCTGCAGCCTCCCAGCGGTTTCTCCAAGACATGCTTGCTGTTCTGTGTTAGGCCTGGGCATGCCATACAACCTGGCATAGTCCCTCAACTAGCTTGCTGCCTTAGAGATGCTGGAGGACAATACAGTGGTGCCTTGCTAGATGATGATAATCCGTTCCACTGAAATCGCTGTTTAGCGAAATTATTATCTAGAGAAAAGCATTTCCCCATTGGAATGCATTGAAACCTGTTTAATGCGTTCCAATGGGGAAGAATCGTCGTTGTCTAGTGAAGATCGGCCATAGGAAAGCCACTTTGTGAACCACCAATCAGCTGTTTAAATCACTGTCTTGCGAATCTTAGGTCCCGAAAACACCTGTTTTGCAAGTGTGGAGGAAGCTGTCAAAATAGTTGTTTAGCGAAAATCGGTTTGCGAAGCAGGGACCAAACATTGATCAGCGAAATTCCCCCATAGGAATTACTGTTTTGTGAATCGCTATAGCAATCGCAAAAAGTCAATGTCTAGTGAAAAAACTGTTATGCGGGGTAACTGTCTAGCGAGGCACCACTGTATTTCGTTACTTAAGTGGTAGTAAGATTTAGTCCAATCCATGTCTTTATGTATATTGTGGGAGGGGACTGATCTGGACCTTCAGGAAGCCTCAGACAGCCAAATTGCCTCAGGTGGCTTTGCTTAGGAGAGCGATTCTCTTGCTTCGGTCCACCACCACCCCCCGGGGCATAAGTGCTACAATCATTATCAGCAGAAGTCAGCCATAGTTGGAATTGTCATTAGTAACATATGAAGAGCGCTGTATTCATTAAGGCTTGTTTGCAATGGCTGAGAATGGGCTCTCCATGATTTCAGACGGGAGCCTATATTTTCCAGCCCCATCTGGAGATGCCAGGGATTGAATATGGAACCTGGTACCAAGCTGTGTGGCTCTGCTCATCATTCGAAAACACATTAGAAATGCACACACACACACACACACATACCCCAATGCAGCTCTGCTGGGAAATTGCCCTTCTTATCTCATCCTACCTCATGGAAGCTTGGAGGAGAGGATGGTGTCTTTGGTTAAACATTGCACAAGCAACACTCTGACTTTTGTTTTTTGATGTGCATTGGTCTTCTCTTTTCAGGGAAGGATATATGCATTAGCTTTCAAGTGGATGGGAAGATGCTCCCATGTAAACCCAACATCAAATGGTTCAAGGGAAAATGGCTGGAGCTGGGGATTAAAAGCGGGCTACGGTTCCAATTCAAGGACATCTTTGACAAGGAGAAAAACGTGAGTCTTAGCAGTGTGAGAAAAACAAAAAAGACCTGCTCTCTAAAATGGAGCAACCTTTTCCACTATCCTGTGCTAAAGTGGCTCATTTTCATCCTCTGGACAGGCTTATTTGGCAGAATGTAGAAAAGAGCAGACCCAGGCAGAACACCTGCCCTCTTGCAAATGATGTCTCAAAATGTCAGCCACTGCTCCTGTCCTTTTTCTTGTTAACAAACAACAAACAAAATTGCCTAAGTGAAGAAATGTCGCAATGAATCTGTTGCTCTCTGCCGCTGCAGTACTTGATCGTTTTGGACCAGGTAGCTTATTGGGATGGAAGATGTGCCACAATGTTTTTAGATAAACTGTGATGCAGTAAAGCACAAATTGCATGCTTTGTTTCTTTCTTTCCTTGGAGGGGCACTGGAATTCACCAGAGTCAAGGAATCTCTTGCAATATGTGAAGTGAAGGTCTTGTTTTCCCTGATTATTTTACTTGTATAGATACAGTGGTGCCTCGCTTAACGAGGATAATCCGTTCCAGCGAAATCGCTGTAGAACGAAATCCTCGCTAAGTGAAATAAAAAATCCCATTGAAACGCATTGAAAACCCGTTCAATGCATTCCAATGGGCTGAAAAACTCACCGTCCAGCGAAGATCCTCCATAGGGGCGGCCATTTTCAGTGCCTGTAAAGCGAGGAATCCATCCAAAAACACAGAGGGGAGCTATTTTACACAGTGGGTGGCCATTTTGAAGCCGCCGATCAGCTGTTTTAAAAACGTAATGTGAAGAATCGGTTCCCGAAGCAGGGAACCGATCGTCGCAAAGCGGATTTTGCCTATTAAACATCGCAAAAGCGATCGCAAAACAGTCATCGTATAGCGGTTTTGTCATTTAACGAGCCAATTGTTAAGCGAGGCACCACTGTATATGATATGGGAGCTTACGTGCCACATCACTTAAGTGCTCAAGTAGCCTCCTCTTCTGTTTTCTTCTAAAATTCATGCTGAAAGTTATGAATACTCCCTTCCTTGACAGAAAGCCGCCCAGAGTAGACGTAGTCTAGAGCAGTGGTCCCCAACCTTGGGCCTCCAGGTGTTCTTGGACTGCAACTCCCAGAAGCCTTCACCACCACCTCTGCTGGCCAGGATTTCTGGGAGTTGAAGTCCAAGAACATCTGGAGGCCCAAGGTTGGGGACCACTGGTCTAGAGGGGTGGGATACAAATCTAATAAATAAATAAATAAATATTGCCATCATTTTGTGAATGTTCAGCTGCCTTGAAATGCCACAATTTAACTTGCTTATTTGTTTATTTGTTTATTTATTAAATAAATAAAATAAATAATTTATTTGAGATAAATTAATTAATTAATAATTTATACAATTATTAATTAATTAATTACCCTGCCTGTCTCCCTGAAAAGGACCCAGGGCAGCTTAGAAAAAAATGAAAGACAATATTTGAAGTTGAAAACAATGAGTATAGAATGGTGGTTACGTTTGACTTGGAAGTCAGATTATTCCTTACTTGAAGTGATATTTCTTTCTAGCAAGCAGGCCCATCCTGGCCCATCCACTAATACAAATGCTGACATTAGGGTGGGTGAACACAGGAAAAATATTAAAGGGGAAAATCTTTTTTGTCAGCACCTGGAAGGGATCTTAATCTCAAACCTTTGAATAGAAAAAACAACAACAACCCAGAGACACAAAGTGACAAAGAACTATGGGGTACAAGTGATTAGGGCTTTCATCACCTGATGTCCTCTAGATATGTCAGACCATCAATCCCATTATCTTGCTGATCTTCTTGGTTACTGATTGATGGGAGTTGTGGTTCAATACAAGCTGCTGGATAGAAGATGGCTGACTTAAATAAACCAGAATGAGACATTGTATTGTCCACTGTGTCTTCCCAACCTCACATTTGCCAAGATAGCTGGAATGGGAAAGCGTGAAGTGGGGGGGCACTAAATATAAGCAGATCCATGAATAGGAGGCAAAGAAGCTTCCAACCTCCACGTCCACAGGAGGAAACCTGGCTGATGGAGAATGATTGAGCAAGCCTGGTGTAGCCATCAAAATGCAGCCCTAGGGCCCGGGAGGTGTGGCTTGTATGGGGGGGGTCACACCCATCACCCGCTAACCAACATGAGAAACAAGATAATGGGATAGATGGTCCAACATCTCTAGAAGACACCAGGTGACAGAAGTCTTAATTAATTGAATCCCATGGAGTAACCCCACAGAGCCCACGGTAGATGATATTTGGACAGTCATTCTCCCTGAGCATGAGATACCATTTATTTATTTATTTATTTATTTATTTATTTATTTATTTATTTATTTATTTATTTATTTATTAGATGGTTGTGAGGCTATATGGGGAGGGTCAGAGCCTCATCTAGTGCTTGGAGCCTATCAGAGAAAAGGTGAAGCACATAATAAATAAATGAAATTAGCCTTCCCAGATCTACTGCTTTCCAGATGTTTTAGACTACAGCTCCTATCATCCATATGTATTCGCCAGCATGCTGACGTACAGATGGGAATCGTTGTCTAAAACACCTGGAGGGCATGAGGCTGGACGAGGCTGGGTTAAAGTTTCCCCTCCAGCAAATCCATTTTCTGGAGCTGCTGGTGCCTTCCTAGTTTAAACTTCTTAGCTATTGCCCATCCTCTAGTTTTGCTCCAAATTCTCTGGGGTCAAGGAAGCTCTGGCATTTTGGTAGAACACAGGCATGCATGAGTGTCAGGATTACACCCACTTTATACTAAGTGGCAGAAATGGGTGCTGCTGGTGAATCTTTCACATCCATTTCCTCTCCTTTTTTCCCCTCTTTGCTTCCTCCCAAAGACTTACACCTATGAAATGAGAATCAGCAAAGTGGTAATTGGAGACCGGGGTGATTACCGCTGTGAGGTGTCTGCCAAGGACAAGTTTGACAGCTGCACCTTCAACATTGATGTGGAAGGTACCACTGAGACCCCTTACTCAAAACCCTAAACACATAGATCCCCAGCACCATCCTTTGGAAGCTGCCTTTTCTTTGGTGGCTTTTATAATCTTCTGGAACTGAGAGCTTGGAACAGTGGACGACATTTGTGGACTACATTTCCCAGAATCCCTGAGCTGCTACCATGATGTATCTGGGAACTGTAGTCCCAAAACATGAGCTTTTCCAAGCACTGAACCAACTTCCTCTGAATTGATTCTCCTTTATTGATATATTTGGTAGGGCCAATCCAAGACATTTTGCTGATCGAGGTAGAAGAGCAGATACCGCCTCCCAAGTCAAAGTACATAGTGCTCAAGACCTGGCAAGTTATTCAGTAGCTGGGTAGAAAACCCCATAAATGCCTTTCTCTGGAAATGAAAGTATAGGACATGCACACATATATACATAACAACAAACATCAGATGAAAGCAATTCACTACCCTTTCTTGACACCAAAACACATTCAAGGAAGCTATTTCACCTTGCCTAGTGGAAGGGCTGACTCTGATGTTTGGTTAGTTATTAAGTCCCCATCCTAAGGACTTATGGCAGGTAGAAACAGTTGTGTGAAGGAAAGCCAGATTCACTATTCCCTCTAACATGCCTGTAGTTTTAGGAAGGAAGGCTTGAAGCAGGGTTGAACAACCTGTGGTCAGACTTTGAGGACTATAGATCTCATCGGGCAGCATATCTAGGTTGCCCAACCCAATATAAAACAACATTTTAAAAGAAAGAGAGTGGGGAATGAACAGATTTATTTTTCTTCATCAAAAATGGGGAAATGATATATATAGAAATAAAGTCTGTGATAGCCTTGGGCTACCCAGCTTTCAGAGACGATTCCTGACTTTAAAAATATGTGCCTATGCTGTGGCTCAGGGCCCGGTTACACATGGCAATACTCCTGAATCTGCGTTGGGTTTAGCACACTTGAAATTGCTTTTAGAAATATCAATTTATAGAACATCTAGCTAAGCATGCATTTCTTTGAGGAGGAGAGTGTGTTTTTTTGGTTCAGAAAGTGGGGCATTTTAAACAGCAGAGGGGTGTTTATTTTAACTCAATTGTGAATGTGACTTATTTTGAATAGTTTTGTCATGTGTGTTTACCCATGTCTGAGCCTCTCTGCCCTCTTGGCCTCTGCCCTCTTTGCTGCCTCTTCATTCCTCCCACTTGCAACCCAAGCTGAAGGGAATCAGAAGAACAGGGTTGGCTTGTAAGTATGGAGTATATGTTAGTTTAAAAAAATGTGAAAAGAGGGCCAGCAGAGAGAGAAGGTTGGATGGGGGAAAGCGGACTATAGATCTCATCGGGCAGCATATCTAGGTTGCCCAACCCAATATAAAACAACATTTTAAAAGAAAGAGAGTGGGGAATGAACAGATTTATTTTTCTTCATCAAAAATGGGGAAATGATATATATAGAAATAAAGTCTGTGATAGCCTTGGGCTACCCAGCTTTCAGAGACGATTCCTGACTTTAAAAATATGTGCCTATGCTGTGGCTCAGGGCCCGGTTACACATGGCAATACTCCTGAATCTGCGTTGGGTTTAGCACACTTGAAATTGCTTTTAGAAATATCAATTTATAGAACATCTAGCTAAGCATGCATTTCTTTGAGGAGGAGAGTGTGTTTTTTTGGTTCAGAAAGTGGGGCATTTTAAACAGCAGAGGGGTGTTTATTTTAACTCAATTGTGAATGTGACTTATTTTGAATAGTTTTGTCATGTGTGTTTACCCATGTCTGAGCCTCTCTGCCCTCTTGGCCGCCTCTTCATTCCTCCCGCTTGCAAGCCAAGCTGAAGGGAATCAGAAGAACAGGGTTGGCTTGGCTTGTAAGCATGGAGAATATGTCAGTTTTTAAAAAAATCCGAAGAGGGCCGGCAGAGAGAGAAAGGGTGGATGGGGGAAAGCCCTCCGTCCTTGCCAAGCCTAGAATCTACCAGGTTTTTCAATTTCTTTGTCAATTTCTCTGTGCCTTCCCTCTGGTCAGCCTGGCTATCCCTTCCCTGCTTCCTCTCCTTCTCCACTCCTGTGTCTGTGTGTGTATGTCTGTGTATGTTGGGCTGCTGGGAAAGCCAGATCTGTTTTATTCTTTCCCCCCCCATCTGCAATACTGAACTAGCGCTATCACAGTTTGGATAAAATAAACAAAAAACAAAACAAATATTAAAAGTAACACCACAGCAGCAGTGGGGAGTGGCTGAGAGAGGTGTCCAAGAAGAGAGAAAGTGGGCACAGGACAAAGGCTCAAATGCAACAGTTTTAAAAGCCCATGTGTTCCCCTCAGCCAATATACAACCCAGTTTAAAAACAGATTAAACTTTTTTTCAAAAGGACACACACACCAACCCCAAAACCACATGACTACCATGTGACTTTAAACCAAGTTCAAGACCTCCAATACATCTCGACTACCATGTGACTTTAAACCAAGTTCAAAACCTCCAGTACATCTGATTCATATTCATAGTGTAACCACGCCCTCAGTTTGATAATAGCCATATATATTCTTCATAACATTTCTATGCTTAAGGGATTCAGGGCATGTTTGAATCCTGTAATTTTCTCTCTCCTTTCATTGTAGCTAGATACCCTTGACCTCCAGATACTATCATGATAAAATGGTATTGATGAGGCAGTTTTCCAGAGAAGGTGGTTATGGGTGGATCACAGACACCATTTCTGTGTCTTGGCTTCTTAAGCAATTAGACGGAGGTGCCTCTGCTCAGGGAAAGGGCAAGCAAGATGTTAGGCATCTGCTTTATACCTGTACTTTCTTCTATTCTAGCCGCAAGTACGGACAATACGGCTGTCTTACAAGCATTCAAACGGACGTAAGTGCTCATGTCTGGAGACTGAACCCTTGAGATAGATCAGCCTTGCTCAGTGTAGTGTCCCGGGAGTGGGAGTATTAACATCACCCAGGCCACCTGGACCAGAAATAGCACTGCCCCTTGAGTTTTTCTGATAGCACCAGGCTGGTAGGCTTAGCCAGTTCCGAATGGGCATTCCTGTGGGTTGACTCTCTCTCCCCCCCCCACGTTCTCCTTGCAGAGGGGAAGGCAAAGATGATACTTCTGGGGAGCTGGACTTCAGTGGGTTGCTAAAAAAGAGGTAAGTGATGATTGGGGAGAATGGGATACATCTCGACAAAAGTAAGGAGAAGGTACATCTTAATCTCCATCCTGTTTAGACCAGCGAGAATGTCTTGCTCCAAGTTGTTTAAAAAGAGAAGCAAAGCCAATGACTTCTCCTTCACAATATACTGCTAACAAGGGGAAGAATTTTGTGCTGAAGGGCTGTGAGCTTCATTCACTTCTGTCACTCCAAACAAATCAAACTGCATGTCCTTTTTGACTTTAGATGTGAAAAAAGACAAAGTTGTTCCTGCAAACCTGAAATCTGCCCTCATCAGTGCAGTAGGATCTCCTTATCTGTAGGATCAGTATTGGCTGATTCACTTATCCATGGTCTGAAAATATTAAAAATATTAATAATATTACAAATATTAAAAGAAAAATCCTAGAAATATGTATTTCTAAAGATGAAGTTACCAGAACAGGCCACTAGGGGAACCCAGAGATTATGTTATGTATATCATTTGCTATTAAAATAGTGTTCACTGTAATACAGTGGTGCCCCGCATAGCAACGATAATCCGTTCTGAAAAAATCGTCGCTATCCGGATTAGTCTCTATGCAGGACTAAAAACCCCATAGGAACGCATTAAAACACGTTTAATGCGTTCCTATGGGGAAAAACTCATCACTATGGGGAAAATCCTCCATCCGGCCGCCATTTTCACTGCCCGGTAAGCGAGGGCAGGGCGCGAAAACGCTGCAGGCGGCCATTTTCTTCACCCTGTGGCCATTTTGGAACCGCCAATCAGCTGTTTTTAAAACATCGCAATGCAAAAATCAGTAAGCGAAACGCTTACCGATCATCGCAATGTGATGTTTTCCCATTAGAAACATCGCAATGCGATCGAAAAAACAATGGCAAAAAATGCGTCGCTATGCGGATTCGTCGTTAAACGGTGCGCTCGCTATGCGGGGCACCACTGTACATGTTTTTTAGCATCAGCAGGTGGGGGCTTAGAACCTATCCCCTATGGATATGGGGGTCCTACTGTATTGGCCAAAGGGGAAATAGCAGTTCTCTCCCCAACTGCATGCATACAGTGAATGCATGCAGTGGTAATATGATGCAGTGGTAAACTTTATCAGTGTGCCTATCACACCCTCCTCTGTAACCCCAAGCAACATACCTATATAGCAGTGATTCCCAGCCTGGGAAATGCATACCCCCAAGATTGCGAACCAGGACAGTTAGGGTTAAGCAAAAACAAAAAAAAAATTGAATAATGGCGCGAAAAGGCCCACACAGTCATAGTGTAAGACAAGATACAGGTCAACATTTGTGAAATGAATTGAATATTATGACGAGTGGCGGAGTGGGTTTTCACCTTGAGAAAAGCCCTGTTCACTCGCTTTGCCAGTTTGGTGAATGCTGGGGAGTCCTTTCCTAAACAATGTGTTGTAAACATGCCAATACAGCACAAATGTTCAGCTGGACACCCCTCACAGGTTCAGCTTTCACACTCCTCTGCTTTGTGAACCTTCAAGTGCTGTCGCACTGGTCCCAGTATATATGTAAGCGGGTACGTCAGTCAATCCTGTGAGCCCAGCAACCCTATTAATTACAAGCATTTTGCCATTATGAAGGGTTTAATTTATGGAAATGGGCTGCCAAGAGGTAGACAATGCAAAAAGGTTGGAAACCACTGCTATATAGCGTACTACCCAATTGGTCAACATCAGCGTGAGGGCAGTCCTTTGACTAATTGCCTAGGAGAAACCCCTGGGGTGTTCAGTGGTCTGCCAGCACAGGTTCACCTTGCAAAATGGCACAGGCCAACCATGGTCCTCTCAGCATGGCTGGGCTGCAACTCCCACCATTCATCTCCTTTCATTACAAGGGTTCATTTCTTTCCCTCGCCATTTGCTTTCCTCTGTGTTAATCTCTCACAGAAACAACAGTAAAACTTGGAAAGCCTTGTTAACACTGAAGGCATTCAGAAGGAACTTAGATAACCACCCGGCAGATATCCTTTGATTTGTATTCTTGCATCAAGCAGGGGGTTGGACTTGATGGCCTCATAGGCCCCTTCCAATGTTACTATTCTATGGTTCTATGATCCCCTAATTCATTTACCAAAGCAAGAAAAGCTGATTGGCATTTTTGGCTGCTCTAGCAGATGATCTTGCAGCTGTGATGTTCAACACTCGGAAACCTTAGATTTATCTCTTCCAGAAACCACTGGTCGTGCTGGCTGAAGGATTCTGGGAATGATAGACACACCCACCCAAATCAAATGTTCCAAATGCTTCAGTTGGTCATTTCCCCTGGGGAACTGGGGGAGCAGGAGATCAATTGAAAATCTAGAAGTGAATGCTTGAAGAATTGTGCCTTCTTCTCCCACCCTTTCCTTCAGAGAGGTCCAGCGTGAGGAGGAGGAGAAGAAGAAGAAGAAGAAGGATGATGATGATGATCTGGGCATCCCACCAGAGATCTGGGAGTTGTTGAAGGGTGTGACCAAGAAAAGCGAGTACGAGCGCATTGCCTTTGAGTACGGCATCACTGACCTGCGTGGCATGCTCAAGAGGCTCAAGAAAACCAAAGTGGAAGTCAAGAAGAGCGAAGGTCAGCCGGGATGCCTGAATTGAAGGGGCCAGGTCTCCTGAAGGGTCATCCATGGACCACTTGGTATAGACATAGACAGCATCAGGGGTCCATCCTCGATCTTCTGGAGGAGGAGAAAGATGTAGGAAGGAAGCCCCTGTCTACACAGCTTTTCTGTAGCTTTGGCCAACTTGAAGAGAATGGGGATAGGACATGTGGCTTTTGTTTGACTGGGAGGGGGTGTGGTATAATCATCAAGCACAGTGAATTAACTTCATTGTTCCTCTAAATCAGGGGTGTCCAACCTTTCACCTTCCCTGGGCCACATTAGAAGATGAAAATTTGGTTTGGGCCGCACATACATTTGGTTTGGGCCGCATGGGGGAGGCAGCCCTAGCCTTCCTCCGCAGCCCCGCTCCAAGCGCGCTTATCGGTAGCTGCGATCTTAGATAGCAGAGGCTGCCAGCTTCGACTCCGGCAGCTTTATGGGGCTGGGAGGGGGTCCACCTATTGACGGGGAGGGGGCAATGCAGTCACGCAGCCCCCCTGTCCCCTCCCCTCCCACTCCATCCTTCCTTCCCTCTCCCCCCCTCGACTGTTGTGACATGCCCCGGCCACATTCCGGCCGCAAGCGCCAGCAGTGTAACTTGAAACTTTGGAATTTCTTTAAAAATAAAAAATTGCACTGGGCCGCATTACGAGCTGACCTGGGCCGCATGTGGCCCTCAGGCCGCAGGTTGGACAAGCCTGCTCTAAATACTGCCCCACCTCCTTTTGATGGCATTGTCTCAGCTAAAAGAAATGCATGGTTTCAGGACTGCAGGCAGGAGGGAGGAAGCTCTTGAGAAAATATTGTCCAGTGATCTCCTATCAGATAGTGTTCCACCCAAGTCCAGTGAGCTCTCTGTGTACAACCTATGGGGGACTCATAGGAGAGGATGGAAGGAGCCTCATTTCCAAATTTGGAGAGGTTTTCCCTGGCTCAGTCATAATCCACACTAAGATTCCCCATCAGGCTTCATGGTAGATGCAGAGGATTGTATGTTGTGTTTTGAGGAAGGAATGCTCTACAAACCTTGCACCATTTTCTTCTTAGATGCTGTTCTCTTTCTACATATTCTGTTTTTCATCAAGGTGCAGGAAGTCATCCCACACGAGTGCCATCGGACTACTGCAATGCATGTGCAAGGGTTTGAGAGCTTTTCTTGAAAGCCAAAATATAAAATTAAAGAAAGCCTGTCATTACCTGTTGAAATGTGTTAGCACTCCTGGGAAATGATTTCAGGAAGAGCTTTGTGACTGAGCAATCATACTTGCAAATGAAGCCTGTGTTTTCCTCCAGCAACCAATCACAAAACAAAGCAAGCTCCTTTGCAAGCTATGGGAGGTGTGAAAAGCTCCTGCTGCATCAATCAGACATTTTTTTTGGCATTTAAGGAATTCCTTTTTCCAATGATGGGTTACCTCTTCCACAATAGGAACTGAGGTTTATTGATGGTTTAAGAGAGAAGGGGCCATGGATGAAACAGGAAAAAGAGCAGGAAATGGTTTTGTGCCAAATGCCCCATGGAAGAAAAAAGGGGGAAAGAAGCATTTCTGATTCTATTTCCCCACTTCTTTTGTAGCCTTCATTAAAAAACTGGACCCTGCTTACCAAGTTGACAAGGGCCATAAGATCAAGATGTGGGTGGAGGTGAGCAACCCAGACCTTCCAATCAAATGGATGAAAAATGGACAAGTGATCAAGCCCAGTGGCAAGTGAGTTGGAAGAAGGTTTCAGAGGGAAGGATGCTCCGTTGTTGTTCTCTCAATGTAGAATGGGGATGGCTAGGGGATGGGGAAACAGCTAAGGGAGCTATTTTGGTGGGGAAGTTCTGGAGTCATCTGTGTCTGATTTGAGCTTCATGTAATTGTTCCTTCCTATGGACAGGTACATCTTTGAGAATGTGGGCAAGAAGCGCATCCTGACCATCACCAAGACCACACTAGCTGATGACGCAGCCTACGAGTGCGTTGTCGGGGATGAGAGGTGCTCCACGGAGGTCTTTGTCAAAGGTGAGGCTGGAGGGTGCGCGCATGAGGATATCACCGCTCAGCAAAACGGAAAACACAGGGACGGAGTAAGCGAGATGGCAGCTCCAATGGTGGAGGCAAGCATAGAAGCTGGCTGGCTGAGGCCCTGATCGCCCCAGGGAAACGTTCCCTCGTTCTGATTATACTTTCCTTACTTATGTTGCCCTGAATCACGGTCACGTGGTATATATACCAAGGTGAACATCTCAATTACTTCTAACGTTACCGATTCATTTCCTCCATTATGGTCGACTACATGGAGGGGCCAATTTATTTTTTTCTTGCACATAGTGCCCCCCCCATGCCCCTCCTGAGCCAGACAGGAGGTGAGGAAACTTTCTCCCTGTTGCAGCATCTGAGGCAACATTGCAGCCTTTCTGGTCAGGTGCCTCCTTCCTCTGGTAATCAATCGCCAAGCCCGGCCATGGGAGCAGAGCCGGTCTGGAGAGAAAAGTCCCCAGGTCTGCAACCCCCCCAAACCCAACATTCCCCATCCTCGCCACCGCCTGGGCCGGCCTGACTGCACCCACCCATGACCCATCAGCAGAGCGAGGTGGGAACGAAAAGCCCAGCCCACTGCCCTGTCCGAAGCAGGAAGGTGGGGAGCTGGGTGGACAGGCAGAAGGAGGACTGCCAAGTAGGCATGGGAGAAAGAGCGGGAAAAGGAGGAGGAGGAGGAGGAGAGAAAAGAAGGAAGCAGCTGTGGAGGCTGTGGAGAAGAGATGAGGGAAAGAACAGATCAGGATCTTCACACAAGCTGGTAAGGAATGTTTCAGTACATCATTGGTACAAAATAAAGCAACCCTCCCAGCCAGGGGGAAATGTTTTGCAGTTATACCACTGGCCAGGAAAATGATTTGGTAATGGCCATGCCTCATGTGATTGGGAATTTATGCAGCCATCTATCTAGGTGCAGTGGAGGCAAACCTTTTTCGGCTCGAGTGCCCAAAATGAGGGGGTGGGGAAGAAACCAGTGGCTGCCATGCCGCCCGGAAGACCGGAACTGGAACAGGAAGTGGCACTTTCAGGGGGAATCATGGGGACGGACAGGAAGTTAAAGGGGGAATCATGGGGACGAACGGGAAGTTAAAGGGGGAATCATGGGGATGGAGAGGAAGTTAAAGGACCCAGAACAGGAAGAGGAGAAAGGGGGAATCCCAGCTGCAGCCACTTAAAAAGATTTGTTTCTACAAGGGTGCGTGGGTGGGCTGCTCATTCGTGTGCCAGAAGAAAGGGCTTCACGTGCCACATGTGGCACGCGTGCCGTAGGTTCGCCATCCCTGATCTAGGGTATAACTAGGGAACATTTCCATGGTCTGATCAGGGCCTTAGTTATATCGGAAGAGTTTGGTGCTGGTACGCAAGCTGCATCCCTGCTCGACTGTCTGTCTCTCTGCCTCTCTGTTTGTAGAACCTCCTGTCCTGGTTGTGAGTGGCCTGGATGATCAGCAGGTGGTAGTGGGAGACCGAGTGGAGATGGAAGTTGAAGTGTCTGAGGAAGGAGCCCAGGTGGTCTGGTAAATTCCCTTGCAAGCCTTTCTCCTCCGCCTTTCTCCTCCATTTTCCTTCCGGCCAGCTGTTACCCAAGCAATCCCCATCGCACTTCCTGGCTTCAACAAAACTATTGAAATTTCTGTGTGCCTGTGTGATTTCTAGATGAAAGGTCTTGGGTTCAGTCCCTGACGTTCCCAATTAAAACTGAGGATGAGGGAGAAATTTGCTACGTTCGGATTTAATGCAAATGTGGAAAGTACCTAATTTTGCACTTTAAAATTAGTACACAAACTGCCCTGCTCATCAAGCTAAAACACTGCATACTTTGGGGCTATTAACTGGAAGCTGAGTGACCCAAGCTTTTATCTGTACAGATGCCTGGTGTCCCAATGAGTTGGTTGCCCTACTTTGCACCTTCTGGTAAATTTTTTAAAAATTCATATTAGAAGACAGGAGTCTTTGAAACATCAGATGTCCCAGACAGTCATTGGCATGTTCTGTGCATGAGAGTTGTCCCTGATTCCTATGACTGGTATCTTTATACACATATGTGCATACACACACACACACACACACACACACACACGTCTCACTGTCTGCCTGGCTTTGCCTGCTCTCCAAACTAGCCCCTTTCTTTCTCTCCATCTCCAGGTGTAAGAATGGTGTAGAACTGACTCGAGAAGAGACTTTCAAATACCGCTTCAAGAAGGATGGCAAAAAGCACATCCTCATCATCAATGAGGCCACCAAGGAGGATGCTGGACGCTACATGATCAAGACCAATGGTGGCCAATCAGAGGCAGACCTCGTAGTTGATGGTACAGTATGTGGATCGGGACCGGTAGATGGATAGAGACATCCCACTGGGAGTTTTTCTCAGTGGGATGTTGTAAAGTCGTTCTTGACCATCTCTCTCTTGCTACACAGATAAGCAGCTTGAGGTCCTTCAGGATATTGCTGACCTCACAGTCAAAGCTGCAGAGCAGGCGGTCTTCAAGTGTGAAGTGTCAGATGAGAAGGTGACAGGCAAATGGTATAAGAATGGAGTTGAGGTCCGGCCCAGCAAACGTATTACAATTTCTCACAAGGGCAGGTAAGCAGGAAGGCTAGAGAGTACTGTGTTGTGAAACAATACGACTCCCATGGCTTTGTTTATCATGGGTAAAAAGAAAAATCTTAGAAATACAGTATATATTTCTAAAGCTGAAGTTACCAGAGGTGGCCACTGAAGGGAGCCAGACACTGTGTTATGTATAGTGTTCACTAATATATTTCTATATTGTCATTACCATAGCTGGCCACTCTAGAGGGAGCCAGAGGCCATGCTGTATATAGCAATTGCTATTAAAATAGCGTTCACGATAATCCATGTTTTTCAGCATTGGCAGGAGGGCTTAGAACCGATTCCCCCTAGATGCAGGGGTCCTACTGAACAGCCCATTCTGTTGTAATAATATGTGTAGAATGTCGGTCCTGGACATCAGAAATACAAAGCTTCTTTGGGTCCTGTGGCTGGAAAAGTTACTTTTATGGGTAATAATTTCTGGAATCCCACAGTTAGCATGGCTACTGGGAAAACTACTGCAAAGTGTTGCGAGCCTCAAGGCAGAATTGGTAACAGCACAGCAGATCCAAGAGTCCAAGAAGCTGAAAGCTCAGCTCACTATGTTGCCCTGGATAGGTCTATTATTCTAGCATCCTATACAGCTTACTTTAAAATGTCTGGCTTTTCTATAGCGAGTTACTCTTCTGCAGAAAGTGATTCTTCCAAATCACCTATAGCCAGGATCACCCAGCCAGCGTGACTGCTAAGCATGTGGGCGGTGGATCCAGACAGTTCCTTGTCCAAAATGCATTGTTCTCAGTTTTGGTCAAATCTTTGCTAAAATATGGGGGGTCCTTAGATTGCCTTGGACAAACTATCATCATCCATTCAGTTAAATATGCCTTGATTGTTGTAGAGATAAAAAGAAAGAAAGAAAACTTGACTTTTTTTCCTGCAGATTCCACAAGCTGGTCATTGATGATGTGAGACCAGAAGATGAGGGAGACTACACTTTTGTTCCTGATGGATATGCGCTTTCACTTTCTGCCAAGCTCAACTTCTTGGGTCAGTGTAAGAAGGAACTTGAGCAAGAAGCTCTAAGATCTGGCACTTTCAGGGGTGGATGACCTGCAGTGGTCTGAAGGGAACATATGCCCGTCCTGGAACCTTGAAGATTGCTCCATGACATATATTTTTTTTTCCTTTCAAAAATCTTTTTTAAACTGAAGCTTCATTGCACCCTCTACTGGACACATTTTTAAATTTAAATTTGGAGGTTTGAAGAGCTATAGGAGTGATTGGCCCTCAAACCTTGGCAAAAAGGGTGTCTCACTCAACTCACAAGAGATCAACCTTCAAATCAATAGAGTTTTTGGGGTAAGGGGGCAGGGAACATGAGAAGGTTGTATTTGGCCCCCTGGAGTACACATGTTGTCCACCTGCTCTACATGTACTCTTCCTTTTTAAGGGCATGTATATATGCCTATGTCTACATGGGGTTATGATTTGTCTCTGTTTCTGACATTCATACTATGACATTACTTATGTAATCAAAGTGACACCACCCATGTTCAAGGCAGAGGTATTAGTAGGCTTGTGGAACACCCAAATTTTGCAGAGGAACTAAAAATATGTTAGAAAAAAAATATAAGATGGGAACTCTCCAAAACAAGTCAATGAGGAGGACACAGAAAGTGGACATAAAGCCTGTACACATGGACATTTGTCCCACTGTTTGATGCGCTGATGGGTCGTGTTGGTCCACTCTTTTTTCAGCCATCCACATGGGGATATCACTGGAGCAGACCAGTTTGCTCCAACCTGTGCCTTTTTTGAACCCCTGTTAAGGGATTCTACTATTTTGATGTGGGTTGTAGGGTTCCATTTTAGTCCTTTACAAGCCACTTTAGGAGACTGAAAGTTAAACACTTCTGATTAACTGTAGAGAGTTAGGGGAAATGAAATTATTATTAACCACTTTGATTTTTTTTTTTTTGGCCTGTTTGTATTTTGCTGATCGAAACCATGGCTGTGTGCAGTTTCTCAATTGGCAGTGAGACCAAGAAATATTTTAAAATTTTTAATCTGAGCATTTCATTGCATCAGTGATGTTCTAGCAGATTTTTAAAAAGTCACTTCCCCTGACCCTCCACAGATGATCCAAGGAAGTGTTTAATTGACAGGAAGTCAATATGCCATTTGAATGGAAGGAACACACTAAATGGCACATCACTCCTCCACCTGACCTCAACTGACCATTTGCAACCCAATCCAGCCTGCACTAAAATGGACAGTCTAGACAGGGCCATAAAAAACTGACTGGACTTGTGGAACTATAGAATCCTAGAACAATGGAGTTAGAAAGGGCGTATAAGGCCATTGAGTCCTACCACCTGCTCAGTGCGGTATATGATAAAACTAGTAGACTTGGTAACCTGGAATATAGTTTTCTTTTAAAAACGGGAGATTAACATTGAATTTTTAAAATGGGAAATTAATTTTGTAAAATTACGGAAGTCACATTCTCTGTTTTCCTGCTTGCTCAAGGACATTACTTCTGATCAATCTGCTTTTAGCTGTGAGGAAATTCCTGGTGTTGTCATTTCCCAGAGGGACACTGCTGTTGGGCACCATCATTGCACCCCGGTTATGTAGTGGCATAAGAAGTAGATGTTAGAACCTCAAAGACTGCTCAGAGATGTTCACTGCTTTTTTTTCTGTCTCTTCTTCCCCCTATGCTTTCTCACCTCATCCAGAAATCAAGATTGAGTATGTCCCCAAACAAGGTGAGTAGATTGTGCCATTCTTGGGGAAAAATTGGTGGAAGGAAAGGGCTGAAAATTCTCTGGCAGAGAAACATCTGATTTAGACGGGTTTATAACCTACATCTCTTGTTTATTGCCTTAGGAATCAATGGGTATTGTTGTTGTAGAGAGGATTCAGAAAAGTTACTCTTTTTTGGACTACTGTCTGTACTGGTTGGGAGGGGTGTTCAAGGAACTGTGGCCCCAAGCCAGATTCCCCCCACCCACCCTCAAAACTCTCTCAGCCTTTCAACAGACTTCACCAAATCCCCTGCTGCAGAAGAATGTGATTTTATCAAATTTTATCTCACTGCCATTTCTGTTTTTTTCCCCCCAGAGCCCCCCAAGATCCACTTGGACTGTGGTTCAGGAAAAACAAACGAAAACACCATTGTGGTGGTCGCTGGCAACAAGCTGCGCCTTGATGTGTCAATCACTGGGGAACCTCCTCCAGTGGCCACTTGGATGAAGGGTGAGGAGGTAGGTGGTGGTTTTTTTATTTTTGACAGGAAAATTCATTATCTGGAATTCTGGGTCCATGTTTTCCATTTCAGACTCAGATCATCGAAATTGCACAATGGAAAACCTAAGGTGCTCTCAGATGGGGTTCTGCTTATGAGACTACTTATCTCGTTCATGAAATTTCATTGGGGGTGGGCGGGACAGTTGATGATCCTGGCTGGGTTGCTTGTAACCCTCCCACATTTCCCAACATGTGTCTTTTTCCCTATCGAAGAACATTCATCAAGAGGGAAAAACAGAAAATCTGTGTAATGGAAAATGATTGGTAGCGCTAGCTTGGAAACACTTAGTTACAAATCAATCGGTAAAGGTAAAGGTTCCCCTTGACAATTTTTGTCCAGTCGTGTTCGACTCTAGGGGGCGGTGCTCATCCCCGTTTCCAAGCCATAGAGCCAGCGTTTTGGTCCGAAGACAATCTTCCGTGGTCACATGGCCAGTGCAACTTAGACACGGAATGCTGTCACCTTCCCACTGAAGTGGTCCCTATTTATCTACTTGTATTTGCATGCTTTCGAACCGCTAGGTTGGCAGGAGCTGGGACAAGCGACGGGAGCTCACTCTGTCGCGTGGATTCGATCTTACAACTGCTTGGTCTTCTGACCCTGCAGCACAAGTTTCTGCGGTTTAGCCCGCAGCGCCACCACGTCCCTCCTACAAATCAATAGTTCCTCACAATTAATTCCTTTCCTTATAAATAAGGTATAACTACATTATACTCTGGTTATAATTTAATGACAGATAGCTTCACTCTTTTTGCAGTATAACTGTAACACTTTAGTTATTTTGTAGTTATAAAGGTATAGTCTCATAAAAAAGAAATGAATACCAGAGGTTCTAGTTCAAGTACAGGTTTGTGCTATGTTTTGTGTTGCTACATGAAAAATAGTGATTTTTTAAAAAGTAAATGAATACATCTGTTTTAGTTATTTTTGAGAAATGGGGAAGTAAAAGCACAATAAGCAGTTAGCGTATAGTTAGCATTCCCAAAAGTGACCACCTTTGAGACATTTGAATTAATCACATTTAAAAAGATGCATTTGAAAGCAGCTTAAGTAGAAGAGACCAAAATAGATTATGCATTCCATTTATTATTAAAGTCCTTCACAATCATTCCAAAGCTTTCTAAAATGATGTAAGTGCTCTATTTTCTTAAAGTATCATGAATGCAAGTAAAGTGCCTATACTGTACAATAATACTTGAACACAAGCTTCCTTTCTGTGTGGATTACTATCTTTTAACTCACATTAAATGAATCATAGCAATTAATATCCAGTTGCTATCTTCCAATAAGGCAGAGTTTTATAGTTATAAAACCACCCTCCCTTTTCTTACCATCTCTTGTATGTATATACAGTATTCTGACATCTTAATCACATCAACTGAGCTCTGATTTTATGGTTTAGTTTATATTTTCAGAATTGCAATCTGTCCTGACTCCTCAAAAAAAGGAGGCGGGGGACATAAATAAATCTTCTAAAGCCCTACCAAATGGGACTCAATGGGACTCACATCTCTGAAGATTACAGGATGATTATGTTGAAAAACATACCACAAAACCTTGAGGAACGGGTTCAAATTAAAGTTTAGTCAAACTTTATACGTATGAAAATCAGTGAGGCTTAAGTTAAATTGAGACTAGGTTTTCCCATTGATCACAATATTTTTTTTGGACTTACAGTGGGGTCTCGATTTACGAACGGCTCGACATACAAACGTTTCGACTTACGAACCGCTCTCATAGGAATATATGGACTCGACTTACGAACTTAGATTCGAGTTACGAACTCTTTCCCCCCCTTTTTTTTAAAGCTAAGTCATCTTAGTTTAAAAGGAAAAAAAGAAAAAATATCCCCCTCTAGTGGCAGAAGGCGGAATAGCAGCTTCCCATTAGTTTCTATGGACAAAAAGAGCAGATATGGATTAAATGGTTTTCAATGCATTTCTACCGGAAATGCAGATTCGATTTAAGAACTTTTCGACCTGAGAACTCCCTTCCAATACGGATTAAGTTCGTGAGTCGAGACCCCACTGTATATACCGCCCCATAGCACTACAAGCACTCTCCGGGAGGTTTACAATTTAATTATACAGGGTATACATTGCCCCCCCAGCAAGCTGGGTACTCATTTTACCGACCTCGGAAGGAAAGCTGCAGTACAGGGGTTTAACCAGTGCGCCACGAGGCTCTTTCCCTGTACACAGGGAACCAGCTTTCCTTTGCCGTGTATTTGGCCAGCTGCCCACAGTTTAGAACTCACCGGCACCATCAAGAATGATGTAATCTTGTTTTTGCTTTAACATGAATATAAAGTTTCCCAAATCTTAGCTCCTCACAGTGCCTCTTAGGTTTGGCTTCCGGAATATTTCGCTCTGCTTGACCTTTCTCTGCCTGTTCCCCCTGATCCTTCAGATCTTCGCAGAGAAGGAGGGCCGGGTTCGCATAGAAGAGCGGAAGGAGCTGAGCAGTTTTGTGATAGAGAGCGCTGAGCGCTCAGATGAAGGGAGTTACACCATCAAGGTGACCAATCCAGTGGGTGAGGATGTTGCCTCCTTGAACATCAAGGTTGTGGGTGAGTATCCGCAGGGGCTAGATGGGGAGGTGCAATGACTCCGTCACCCTGGCTGGCCCAGCATCCCACTCCCTCTCACTTCCATTGTTCTTTGTCTTTGGCAGATGTTCCTGATCCGCCTGACTCTGTGCGCATCACCTCTGTTGGAGAGGACTGGGCCATTTTGGTGTGGGACCCACCAAAGTATGACGGCGGCATGCCTGTTACTGGTGAGAGTGCCAACTGATCAGTCAAACCGCACCAGAGTAGATTTGAGCCTAAAGTTAGCTAACAGCACCGCTACTGAGCTGTAATATTAGCAGAATTCGGGGAAGTTGTTTTTAGCAAATTATCATTATAGACTCACATAAATAGTTAGTTGCCATTATAGGAAATCTCAGAAATATTTCTTTTTGGACGACACTCTTAGAATCCCTCAGTGCAGCATGGTTATTCTCACAGAAGGAGCCAGAGATTGTTCAACGTATAGCGTTCGATACTTCAGCATTTTTTGGCATCCGTGGCTTGGGGCGTGGAACCGATCCCCCATGGATACCGTGGTCCTAAGATATCTTTCCTCCACTGATCTTTTTTTTCCCCTTTTGTATGTTAGGGTACCTCATGGAGCGCAAAAAGAAGGGAAGCATGCGCTGGATGAAACTGAACTTTGAAGTCTTCACTGAGACCACCTATGAGTCCACCAAGATGATTGAAGGGGTGCTGTATGAGATGCGTGTCTTCGCTGTCAACGCCATTGGAGTCTCTCAGCCCAGCCAGAACACCAAACCTTTCATGCCTATTGGTAAGTGAAAAGCTGAACTTGAAAAAGATAATTTGGGGGAAATAGATCTCTTAGGAATTCCCCTGCGGAAGGCCATGGATAAAACGATGGAGAGAGGTAGTGGAGAGGTGAGGAAAGACTGGTAGTATGAACCAGATCCTTGGTTTTAGCCACGCGGTGAGGGGATTTGAGTGTGTCAGGGAAGCTGGCAGCAATGCCATCAGGAGGCGAGACTCCATTATGGGCCTGGACTCCCAGCAGCATCACTCAAGATGGAAGGGCCACAGCTGAGACACCAAACTAAGAGGCATCCACTGACTTCAAGGGTAAAGGCTGCATCAGCAGCAGAGGATGGATCGTTCCAGTGGTGATGAGGGTGGCAGTTACTTGGCAGCAGTGGTCCCTGAAGATGACACTGGCAGAGGAGGCAATTGATGGAAGAAACATCAGTAATCTAAAAGATGCAGATGACACCATCTTATTGGCAGAAAGCAGTAATGACCTGAAATGACTTTTCATGAACGTGAAAGAAGAAAATGCCAAAGCAGGACCACAGTTGAACATGTACATAAGTGTGTAATAACTCTTCCCCCTCTCTTTTCAATTCTGTTTCAGCCCCAACCAGTGAGCCAATCCACCTCACCTTGGAGGATGTGACAGACACCACAGCCACACTGAAGTGGCGTCCTCCAGACCGGATTGGCGCAGGCGGCATTGATGGCTACCTCATTGAGTACTGCAAGGAAGGAAGTGAGTTACTGCAGCTGATAAGAGAGCTAATCTGAGAGTCTGTCTGTGTATAGGGAATCTTCATTTATTGAGCTCTTCATCAACTTATTGATGCCACTTGCTTCATTCAAGCAGGAAGTCCTGAACTTTCTTTAGCCAAACTCCCCATTAGATCCTCCTCTCTCTGAAGGAGAATCATCCCTCAGTTTGTGTGTATTTGTGTGTCTGTACTTAATCTCAGTTTCTCCATTCATTCATTCATTCATTCATTCATTCATTCATTCATTCATTCATTCATTCATTCATTCATTCATTCATTTACCCACTTTCTCCCCATAGGGGATCCAAAGTGGCTCACAATTGATAAAACAACAGATTCAAAAACACTATATAAACACCACTTTTAAGAAACGATTAAACACGTATTAAGATTTTTAAAAGAAAACAAGCTTAAAAAACAATATAAAAACACTTAATTTTTACAGTTCAGTTATTCACGTTTTAGCCATGTTTGATTAAAGTGAGCAGGAAAAGGATGAAGAGGATGATGTTGAAGTTACACTAATAGCCCACTTTTCCTCCAGTGAGTACAAGGCAGTACCTTCCTCGCCATATATATCTGCACAACAGCATAATGAGGTAGGTCAGGCTAAGAGAGAATGACCGCCTCAGGGTTGCCTAGTGGGTTTCCTGAGTGCGGCCTTGGATGTGTATCTTCCAAATCTTAGTCCAACATAACTACTACGCTGTGCTGGTTGCCAGTGTTGTTTGCAGTAACACACCTCCCCTTTCTTCAGTCGCTGTATTTCCCCACCAGCACCATCACATCTCATTCTGGGAAATCTATGCTCCTCATGGGTCTTACCTGTGAAGTTAGGGTAACGGTAGCTTTTTCACCCTGGGTATCTTGACTCTTAGCTGACTGGATTGCTAAATGGATTAGGTATCCGGCTTTAGACTCACAGGTTGGGAGTTCGATTCCCCGCTGCAGTTCCTCTGAGTAGAACCAGCTTGTGTGGCCTGGGGCAAACTGCACAGTCCCAGGGCCGAAGAAGGGAAGGGGAAATCACTTCTGATTATTCCTTACCTGAAAATAAAATCTGAGAAGGGTTACCATAAGTCAGAATTGACTTGACCACACATAGTGATGGTTATAATTATCTTGACCTTTGACCTAGCTCTTCTTTTCCTCACAATGACACAGGCCAGGTTTCACTGTTCCCTTTTTTTATCCTGGCATCCTTTATTGTGCTTTCCTCTTCGGAGGATGCCTGTGTCCAGTCTTGGTCAACCTATTATTTGCCACTTGGGTAGCCTCAGCTGGCTCCTACATTGTTGGAACCTTGGCCCACCCCTGAAATATTATAAGTGCAGCTGCCATTTTGACATAAATACAACAAGCTGAATTTATTCTGTACCTGGAGCCAAAATCATTGTGTTTCTTATCATCTGCTTCCTGCCGTCTAGTAACTTAGGAAAGTTACTTTTTTGGAGGGCAGGTCTCAGAATTTTAACTGATGGCCATGCCAGCTCACTGATTCTGTGTATTTTTTAAAAAAAAATCTGAAAATTTTAAATCTCTGCATGAGCTCATGAGCAATGAGTGGTCCCTTCTCAAATTCTTATATATGATCCATCTCTCCAATATCCTGCTCGCTTTATGCTTTTCCTCCTCCCTCACCCTTTGGTCTTGTCTCTCTTTCTCAGGTGATGAATGGATACCTTGCAACACAGAGCCAGTAGAACGTTGTGGCTTTACTGCTAAAGACCTTCCAACGGGCGAGAAGCTTTTTTTCCGGGTCATTGCGGTCAACATTGCAGGCAGGAGTGTCCCAGCCACTTTTGCGCAGCCAGTCACTATCCGAGAGATTGTCCGTGAGTCAGCCTCAAGCCTGTTGTATTTCTTCCTTGGGGCCCTTGGCCTTCACTGTCTTATAAGGGGAGACGGTAAATTGTAAGGGCAGGGGACCTATCAAGATTCTGGAGGTGGTGGGAGGGGAAATCTGCCTTTTGCTCCCCATTGACCGGAACTGAAAGGGGACGGTGTGGCTACTTGTAAAGGGAGACCAATGGGACCATCCCATCCACAAAGGTATTGTGCCCAACCAAATTTGCATCAGACGTCTTAAAATAACAGACAAGGACAAGAGAATTATAAAAAATAAAGAAGACAAAAACATTGTGGCACTTTAACGACAAACTGCTTTATTTTAATGTGAGCTTTCATGAACAAGTCCACTTCCTCAGACAGTTGTCAGCTGCCCAACATTTCATCTAGTTCAGCCCTAATTTCATTTCCTTGTTTTTACATTGCTTAAGTGACCTTAAGAACTTCTATTTTCAAGTGGAAAAGTAGGCTAATCATAACAGGCGTTACTACTACCACTGCAACTACTGCTGCTACTACTACATCATCATCATCATCATCATCATTCCCTGCCGTTTCTGTCAACCAATTTCTTGGATGGTGCTTAAGAGACAGGATGGTTTATACACCGATCTAGTGGTAAATTCTAGTGGGCTAAATTTTAGGGATCAGAACAGCCACCAGACCAGGAAATAACACATTAGATTTAACGTGTTAATGCCAGTGTTGTTACTTTTGTGCAAACAAAACAAAACAAAACACCAAGAAGGCATCTAATATTTTAAAAAGCAATGTTTTAAAAACAAGAAAAATGTTTGCTTCTAGACATTATTTTTCAGATCCCTCGCCTAGTTTGTCACTGGTTAATCCAAAGGAATTATTCCAATGTTAATGCTTTAAATTAAATCTACTAATTTTTCCAAACTCTGAGACTACGTAGCTATCTCAATCCATTTTTTAATTTTAATTTTAGTTTTTCCTGAATTCAGTGTCATTCTGTGCCACCTCATTTGTCCCTCACGCTGCCCCTGGTCCTTCCCAGTTATTAGAATGTTTAAAAACAGGAATCTGTCAACTCTTGTGAAATAAATCTGTAATCTGTGTTGGGGTGGAGGTGTGGAGTTGCATAGCATTCTTTTCAGTATTGTTCAAACCATTATCCTTCTTGGCTGCTTTCTCTTCCTGTCCCAGCCACCTGAGTCTGGTGCCCTTGCATCTCTTTGCTGTTTCCCACTATCTTTATCCATGAGGGTTCAATATTGTCAAATCTCCCACTTCTTCTTCTCTCTGTGTCTCTCTCTCTTCCCAACAGAGCAACCCAAGATTCGTCTGCCTCGCCAACTTCGGCAGACGTACATCAGAAAAGTTGGGGAGCAAATCAATTTGGTGATCCCTTTCCAGGTAAGCAACTGACTGAAAAATTCATCTCCTCTCCCCTTTACTAATGAAAGTCATTTTTCAGAGGAGAGAAGACCAAATACAGTGGTGCCTCGCAAGATGAATTTAATTCATTTTGAGGGTTAATGACGTCTTGCAAAACGCGTTTTCCCATAGGAATGCATTGAAATCTAATTAATGCGTTCCCATGGGCAAAAAAAGTCAGAACAGAGTCAAATTTGGTTTACAAAGGGTTTATTAAGTGCTCTTTAAAGCCATACATATTGTGCAGATGATCTCAAAAATTTCAGTCAAAAACATTTTAAAATTAGCAAACATGAGGCAGGAACAAAAAACGGAAAAGATTCTTCTTGCGAAGCATGGCCATAGGAACATTCGTCTTGCGAGTCATCAACCCCATTGGCAAAACCATTTGTCTTGCGAGTTTTTGTCCTGAGAGGCATTCGTCTTGCAAGGCTCCACTGTACATATTACCTTTTGTACTATTTGCAAAGATAACAGCAGAGTGTACATGAGCGCAAGAGCCATCAATGTTCCTCCCAGGCAACCATGGCACTGTGGAGTCTGTTGATTTCGTACGTGGAAATCCTTCAAACCTCTGATCAAGTTCTAATCAACTCCAGGTGTCCATATATCTTTTGACATGCCCAAACCACTTCTATGCTATATAACAGGGATGGGGGAGAAACAGCCCTCCTGATGTTGTTGAACTACATTACCCACCATTCCTCACTGCTAACATTTCTGGTTATGAGATCTGCAGCCCAACAACCTTTGAAAGGCAGCCAAACATGATGGAAATTACATCCAATCTTACAACAGTGAGTTTTTCCTTCAGCCGTGTTATCCTAGCTCATAGCTGAAGGAATTTGTCCAGAAATATATCCATGATATAATAAGGACTATAATCAATGAGCTAGTCTATTTATTTCATAAATTGATTGAATGGGTAGGTGTTTCCTTTTTTCACTCCTTGAATTTTTCACTTTATTGTAATAACATAAAAATAAGAATCCACCAGCAGCAGGGCCATTGTCACTCCTGGGCTCCAAATGCTTCCAATCGTAGTTTATAACTTCTGTCTCTCTCTAGTTCTCTCTTCAAATAAAGAGGAACCGTGTGGTCCATACAAAATAAATACAAATGCAAAAATAGGTGGTACATTTACAGACCAGTAAAAAAACAGTCATAGAATAAGCAAGCTTTCATGGATCAACACCACTCCATCAGGCTTGTTCCAGTGTGAAGAATTTAAAGACCAAAGATTTGTGGTAAGATGGATTTTGCCAGGAAAGTTTACTTTTAGATGTAAAGTCCAAATATTCTTGGCAAGAGGGATTGCACCAGGCATGTCTTCCTTAGATGTCCTTCACAGATGAAACCTTAAAATAGCAACCACTGCTTCCTACACCTCTCCTGATTTACATCTAAGAAAGAGGTGCCTGGCAAAATCCATCATGCCAAGACCTTTGGGATCTTACATCTAAAAGTAATTTTCCTGGCAAAATCCATCTTGCCATGAACGTTTGGAGTGTACCCTGGTACAAGCCTGGTGAAGTGGTGTTTGATTCACGCAAGCTCACTAATCGTATGATGATTTCTTAGTGGTCTGTAAAGGCACCACCTATTCCTGCATTTGTATTTTATTTCTCTCTTGTTACTTCATGCCCACAAACTTTCTGTCAGCCTCGCTTGCAGTGGGGTCTGTGTGTGTGTGTGTGTGTGTGTGTGTGTGTGCGTGCGTGTGCGTGTGCGTGTGCGTGTGTTTGGTGGCGTATCCCTTCTCAAAATTCTGATGGCATCCAGCCCTGAGCATCTCCCACCCATGAGCTTCTCCACAAGGAAGCTTCAGACAGGCAAGCTTTGCAACAAAGTAAGGGAAGTTCAGTGGCCCTTGGTCAGTATACAGGCCTCACTCTGCTTTCATGGTGGCCCTCAGTATTATCTGTCTCTCTGGATGCTTCAGGCCCATTTTTGCTCTCTAGACAATCCCTTTGGGAATCCTTCCTGTTCAAGGGTGTGAGAGGTAGTAAAGGTGTTGGTGGGGGCACACAGAACATGTGATGGAGTCATGCCATGCAAATTTTGCCCTGGTGTCCTGCGTCTGCTTACTGTCAGTTCTGGTCCTACCCACTCTTGGCTGAGTTCCCTGATTGACTTTTTTTTTGGCCATAAGGAATCAATGACTCTTACTGGGAAAAAGTGTTCCCCATCCATGGTCTAAGTTTGTGGTCTTAATGCCTGGTTAGGAGGTTACCTGGGGACAATTCCCAGCCATGGCATCTAATAGCAAGTATCAATGGGTAGAGAGACAGCAGAAGGGAAACAAAGACCTTATGCTGATCCCAAGTGTTTGATCACTTCCAGGGTAAACCCCGTCCCATAGTTACCTGGACAAAGGATGGAAAGCCTCTGGATGCCAGTCAGATCAATATCCTCACCTCAGACCTCGACACCATCCTTTTCATCCGCAAGGCTGAACGGCACCATTCAGGAGCCTATAACCTTTCGGTTAAGATTGAGAACATGGAAGACAATGCCGTCATCAAGATTCGAGTCGTGGGTAAGGAAGGAGAGCCCTCCTGTGGGATTTCACAATTATCATCGCTGCAGAAGGGAGGGAAGGGTGCTGCATAAAGGAGGAGGGGGTATCTGAAGTTTTCTTTGGTGATCTCTGCCCGTTCAGAGATGGGACTTCATTTCCATTGCACCTAGAGAAAAAAATGGACGGCACCTCCTGGAACCCCACAGATTATGCTCAGCAACCCTGCAGGCTGTGGGATTCTGAAAATGGCAGGCCAAAATAATTCACTTTTTCTAAACTCTAGATAATGACATGACTTTTTGGGAGTAGGGTGTTAACAGACCCTGATAAATAATAACCACCTTTAAATATACCCAGATTTTTTATTTTGTATTTTCAGGCAGCAGATAAGTGAATAAGTGGATACTGATCCTGTGGATGGGTGTGTGTGTGTGTGTGTGTCCTACTATATTTTAAATTGATATTCAGTTACATGATTTTTGTATTGCTGTGCAGTTCGCTTTGAAAATTATTGTTTCGATATAAAGTAGGGTCTTAAAACCGCTTCAGGAAACTACATGTTACATGTAAATTGGTTTATTAACCGGTGTGCTTGCAGACCGCACAGTTTCCACTGTTGCTGATTCCAGCACGTTGCCAGTCCTTGCAACTTTCTCTTTCGCATTAGCTTTCAGTGTTGTGCAGTTCCTTCATTTTTCAGGCATTCTTTCAAACGCATGCCTTTCTCTCTCTCTCTAAAAAAAAATTAAACATAGTGACATTACTTCCAAAACAAAGGCGGCAAGTGTGTTAAATTAAAAAGCCCCTCTTCCAAAACTTGCTTGGCGACAAAAGTAGGAGTTTGCCATCCATCGTGTCATTGCGATTTTTTCAAATCCATTTTTAATTAAGAAAAACCCAATTCAAAAGTAGTTCCTATTGTTGGTATAGCCGCACCCTAAATTTCCTAAATCTGACGAGATCAAGTGTGTTCCTGGTGGTCTGGCTTTCAGCAGCATTTCAGGCAGAGGACATTTCTTCGTCAGCTGGGTTTTCACGGCTGGCACTGCCCGGCAACCATCTGTACGTATGCAGAACAGCTGCTCTGCTCCTGAGCTGTGGCGTAGACCCTCCCTCGCATGTGCTGTCAGACTGCCTCTGCCCTGCTGCCACACAGGGAGGCTGGCATGATGGCGGGAAGCTGGCCTTTGGAGGGTTCAGCAGAGGCCACCTGCAGAACAGCCAAGGTCCAGAGAACTGAAGAGGCCACAGATCTCTTCTTCTTTCCCTGCAGCTGATAAATTGTTAATATGCCTTAATCCAACCTTGCTCCACCAGTCTCCTCTCCCGCCCCATGGGAACTCTAGATGCTTGCATCTCCCAGGCCTGAGAGAGACAGGAGAGTTGGCACCAGCCTTATGAAGCCTCCCGGCTGCCTGCCCAGTGATGACCACACATGGGATGCTGGCCCTTAGGAGAGAAGCAATCCCTGGGTGGCTCGGGTGACAGCTGTTGCTTCCCTCTGTTCTGGGGGATGGATTGGTTCTCTCCCTGCCTTTTAGAGGCATATCTTGTCATTGCTCCCAGTTTAAACACTCCAGACTTATTATTGATGAGTGGTACCCTTCCTTTCCTGCTTCCCTATCTGGTTCCCCCTCTTACTGGCTCCCAACCCTTCCTCTATATAAGAAGGCAAGATCATATTCTCTCACTCTATATTTAAGCTTCCTTGATGAGTTAAGCCAGATGTCAGCCGCTCCCAGCAACACCAGTGAAAAGACACCCTTCCTCCCCAGCCCACCCCCCACCCCACTCTCCAGACACACACTTTCTGATCAGCCACATCTAATCCCTGTTTGGGCGGCGGAATGTTTGAAGTGAAATTGAGCATCTTCCACAAGCTCTCTGGGAATCTGCCTTTGAAACAGGAGCGTGTTTGAGATGGGGCTAGCTTCCATGTTGTTCTGCACTCCTCCCAGCTGACACAACACTAGTGGACAGGGTTGGGTCTCCCCCCCCTCCCCTCTCCCACATCTGGGCAGGTATTAACAGGGTGTGCATGTGGGTTATGTGCCGTCAACCTGCATCTGACTTATAGTGCCCCTGATAGGGTCTTCATGGTCAATGAGATATTTCAGCATTGCTTTCACCAGTACCACCCACCTCAAGGGAGTTTCCATGATCGAGCAAGGATCTGAACTCAGGTCTCCTGAGTCCTAGCTCGTCACTCTATTTACTGGGTCACACAGAGTACCTATTTACAGGGTCTGTGATGGAACAGCCGCTCTGTGCACCTAATTTGAACTTTATTGTTATATGCCATCAAGGCGTTGTTTTATCAGCCCCACCTCTCTGGTGAGTTTCGATGACTAAGCAGGGATTTGAACCCCGGCCTCCTGAGTCCTAGACCGTCACTCTATCCACTACACCACTGGTTCTTAACCTTGGGTTACTCAGGAGTTTTGGACTGCAACTCCCAGAAGCCTTCACCACCAGCTGTCCTGACTGGGGTTTCTGGGAATTGCAGTTCAAAAGCATCCGAGTAACAAAGGTTAAGAACCACTGCACTACACCACACTGGGTATCCTAGTTTGAAATAGGAGGTGGGAAGTCACTTTATTTTCCTAAATGATCCACACACTCAGTGTAGCAGGAAAAAATAGAAGTTACACAGCAGCATCAAGTCAATAACTTTCACTGATGTTATTTTTGGCAGGGCTCTTTCTGACCTCTGCTCAAAGTAGTAGAGTCTGATCTTCTGCATGAAGAGCATGTGCTCTACTGCTGAATTACAACACCATGCCCCCAAGATAGCACTTGGTATCCCCTGTTAGTTTCCCATCCAAAACCTAACCAGGCCTGTGCCTACTTAGCTTCCTAAATTCGGACAGCTTCACATGCTCAAGGCAGGATGGCATGGGATCACCAAATCGTAAGCTTCAGCTCCTGCTACCACTCCCATTCATTTCCCTACTGACTATTCCAGGGGCTGTTGTGAGAATGACTGATGGCCAGATTCCAAAAGATCTCCTGTATGGAGAATTAGTGCAGGGAAATTGCCCCAGAGGGAGACCACAACTGAGATACAAGGAGATCTGCAAGCGGGATCTGAAGGCCTTGGAAATGGACCTCAACAGATGGGAAACCTTGACATCTGAGCATTCAGCCTGGAGGCGGACGTTGCATTGTGGCCTCTCCCAGTTTGAAGAGACCCTTGTCCAGCAGGCTGAGGCAAAGAGGAAGTCCTGAAACCAGCAAAATCAGGGAGCTGGACAGGGGACAGATTGGATTTGCCTTCAGTGTGGAAGGGATTGTCACTCTCAAATTGGCCTCCTCAGCCACACTAGATGCTGTTCCAAGTCCTCCATACAGAGCACGTTACCATAGTCTTTCAAGACTGAAGGATGCCTAAGTGTCATTCCAGGGGAAGGGAGACCCACCCCACATGAAAAAATGTATTTCTTCATTCTTGTATATATAAGGTCAATAAGATAGGCCCCCTAGCCTGTTCTGGATATCCTGTGGATCTGATTTTAGTTGGGGGCCAAGGGAATTTTGGTTTACATCATTTGGGCTAAGGGGCTACATGCTTGTCTACATGCCCTTGTTTCATAACTAAGCAGTCCTTCGCTTCCCCTTTCCTCTGCAGAGAAACCTGGGCCAGCCCACAATGTGATGGTGAAGGAGGTGTGGGGTTTCAATGCATTAGTGGAGTGGGAACCTCCCAAGGATGATGGGAATTCAGAGATTACTGGCTATTCGATCCAAAAAGCTGACAAGAAGACCATGGTAAGGCAACACCTGTTGTCTTTCAACCTGCATCAGACAGCCTGGGAACATGACGGGTCATCCACGGCCCTTGTCAGGGATGAAGACTGGTGTGGCAACCATAAGAACTTGTATGAGCTACCAGTGTGGATTACAGCTACCAGCATCCCCTAACCAGCTGGACGGGCATGTCTGTGTTGTAATCAAATAAGTAACTTTCTCAAATTGTGGGAACTAGGGCTTATAGGGTCAGGGTGCTATACCTTAAACTGAACTGCTAGTCCAAACTAGAGTAGGATAAAGATGCCAATGAGGTGCAGTCAAGTCAAGCCTCCCCCTGGCTGGGGTTTCCTTCCAACATATATACCTTCATTTATTAATAATAATCATGTGCTGTCAAGTCAATTCTGGCTTATCGTGATCCTTTTCAGGGTTTTCTAGGTAGACTATGATCAGAAATGTTTTACCACTTCCTTCTTCTGGGGGCATCCTGGGACTGTGCAGCTTGCCCAAGGCTACCCAGGATGGCTCTTCTCTCTGGAGGCACAGAGGGCAATCAGACTCCCAACCTCACTGAGCTATCCAATCAATTGCTAAATACTGTAGTAAATCCAGAGTAATATAACTTCCACTGAATCAGTGGGTCTACTTTCGTAAGGTTTAGCAACTGCATGTAGGCTCTGGATTTATTTATTTATTTATTTTTGGACAATCACATCTTCTCCTCCTACTCTCTTCGCCCAGGAGTGGTTCACTGTATATGAGCACAATCGTCTGACTCGTTGCACAGTGTCTGACCTCATCATGGGCAATGAATACTACTTCCGGGTCTACAGTGAGAACATCTGTGGGCTGAGCGAGACCCCTGGGGTCTCTAAAAATACAGCCAACATTCAGAAAACAGGTAACTGCATATACTATATAGCCAGCTGGATACCTCATATTCTTCCATGTGATGGGGGTGGGTGCGTGGGCAGTAGTTTCACAAAAACATGTATTCCATACTTGTTGTTCGTTTAGTCGTTTAGTCGTGTCCGACTCTTCGTGACCCCATGGACCAGAGCACGCCAGGCCCTCCTATCTTCCACTGCTTCCCATAGTCAAATGTATTTTCCCCCCATGGATTGGTCCATTGCTAAGCTCCAGCAAAAGTTAAGAGTGAAATTATCTTACAAAGAGCATATGTTAAGAAGCGGAAATCACATTCATGTTCCAGAGAATTATTCTAACAATTGCTTGCTCCTGAGCAATCATCCTTGCGAAAGAAAGTGCATGATTATTATCTTCTAGTGACAACTTGAATAGAGCACAGTAATAGGCAAACTACAGTTGGTGTAATGAGGCTAATTCTGTAACAATATTGGTTGCTTTCTCTTCTAAATGACAGTTTATCTGTCACAAACAGTTTGACCCCCTCCCAAGCATGAAGCATAACAGTTGGTCGACACTTTAAGCATTATGGAATCCTGAGATTTGTAGTTTGGTGAATTACTTAAGGATTCGCTGCTAGAGAACTCTAGTGCTCCCCCTTAGACGGCAGTGGTAGAGCCCTCTTGCAGAGAATTCTGAATGTACCAAATGTTGTAAGGTCAGTTAGGAGTGTTAAAGGTGATTGGAAATGGAAGCAAGTGGAATGGGATGGATGGTTCAAGTAGAAATGACAGTTCTAGAGTTTTCTTGTGAGCCTAGTGGGGATGGGGAAGGGAGGGACTAGCAATGAGAACTCCTGGGTCCTCTAGCACAGTGGTCCCCAACCTTGGGCCTCCAGATGTTCTTGGACTACAACTCCCAGAAGTCTTCACCACCACCTCTGCTGGCCAGGATTTCTGGGAGTTGAAGTCCAAGAACATCTGGAGGCCCAAGGTTGGGGACCACTGCTCTAGCAGTATCTTCTCCAGGGTGCTGGAGGGATCAGACCTGCAGGAACTCCAATGCCAAATAACTACAGAGAAATACCTATTTTAAGAAAAAAAAATTGATTTCCAAATGTAACCATTATAATCACATATACCTGTAGCTGCCAAAATGGGACAGAATAGGAGATACAAATATGATACAGATCAGAAACAGACAGACTCTCTAGTCTTATGCATGTCTGTTTGAAGGTATGTCCCATTGAATTCAATGGGGCTTACTCTTTAGAAACAAGATAGAAACCGGACATACGATTGCCCCCTGCCAATCTACTGATGGTTCTCCTGTCTTGTCTCCCTTTCCCTTAGGAATAATCTGTAAAAAATTAAACTACAAGGAACATGACTTCAGCATGGCTCCCGTTTTCATAACACCACTGGTAGACCGTACGGTAGTGGCTGGCTATACTACTGCCCTGAACTGTGCAGTGAGGGGTCATCCGAAGGTAAGTACCGTACAAAGCCATGAAACAGGCCCACACTGGGATGTTGGGAGCTGTAAGAGAATAATGGTGGGTGAAAACACAAGCGAAGGGCACCCAGGAAGAGGATGGAAGGAACAAAGGATATGGAAGAGTGGACTGGTTGAGTTTGGGGTTCCTAAATGTGAATTTTTGTTTTTGCTTCTTGAACATAAAATGGAAGAAAACGACATCATATTGTAGCAGCTTAAAGTCACGATAATTAGCATACAAAATTAAGAGTTTTCCTAAGTTTCTCAAATTATATAGAACTAAATTTCAGGTTCATTCCAACTAGAATACAGTAGACCCAGTGGAAGAAATACAATGTAGCTTACTTATATTCAGTTCATTTCAATGGGTCTATTTTATTTAATTGGGACTAAGGTCATAGCCCATAATGATCAGTAGGCTCTCAGACCTCTAATACAGACGGACAACTATGAATATGACCTTCTGTACATTGTAATTTAAATTTTAAAAAATCCTTAGGTTTCCAGAAATTAATTCTTTTTCTTTTGGGTTCTGTTTTAATTTTCTGATTTTTTGTGAATACCTGTTTGTGGGCTGAAAATATATATGGCAAAGGTTCATAAAGATAATGAAGTACTATTGTTTGCAAACAGTTATAAAACACACCTGAAGGAGTGTGGCATTTTTTAATTCTTTTAAAATATTTGTAGGCTTAGTGTGTTTAGCATTTAAATATTGCCACCTTGGGTCCTTCTTAAGGAGAAAGGTGGGGTAAAATATTTTAAATAAATAAATAAAATAAATAACAAATAGGCTTCTCACTTTAATAGTGCAAAAGTATGATCTGATCCTTAAAACTTTCCTAACTCCCAGGCTTATAAACTATACAGAGCTAAATTTCAGGTTCATTCCAACTAGAATACAGTAGACCCAGTGGAAGAAATACAATGTAGCTTACTTATATTCAGTTCATTTCAATGGGTCTATTTTATTTAATTGGGACTAAGGTCATAGCCCATAATGATCAGTAGGCTCTCAGACCTCTAATACAGACGGACAACTATGAATATGACCTTCTGTACATTGTAATTTAAATTTTAAAAAATCCTTAGGTTTCCAGAAATTAATTCTTTTTCTTTTGGGTTCTGTTTTAATTTTCTGATTTTTTTGTGAATACCTGTTTGTGGGCTGAAAATATATATGGCAAAGGTTCATAAAGATAATGAAGTACTATTGTTTGCAAACAGTTATAAAACACACCTGAAGGAGTGTGGCATTTTTTAATTCTTTTAAAATATTTGTAGGCTTAGTGTGTTTAGCATTTAAATATTGCCACCTTGGGTCCTTCTTAAGGAGAAAGGTGGGGTAAAATATTTTAAATAAATAAATTAAATAAATAACAAATAGGCTTCTCATTAGGTCACGTGTGCAGCCGGTTTGGAATGCCATCATGAAAGCACCAACAATTGCTACTTATTTAGTTTATTATTGATTTTCTTTGAACCTCGTGGTCACCAGTACATCTTCTGGCAGCAAATTCCCTAAAATGAATTTTGCTTTGTGTGAGCAAGTGCTTATTTCTTGGGATGGGGTGGTGGGTCTGTCCTGGATCTACTGCCATTGGGATACACCCTTTCACAGGTATGATGTAAGCTGCATTAGGCAGAATCCTGTTGGTCATGTGCCTTGTTTTGGAACCAAGATACATCCCAGCACCTATCAATTAGCTGTGGCAAGTTATGAAAACTTTACACAAACGCCAATAAGATTCAAGCCATTATTTCCATCTCTTGAATACTTGTTGTGGCCTTTGAGAAGACAGTGAGAATACATGGGCAACACATGTTCAGTTTCAAGGCTTTAAAAAGTGTCTCTTGTTTTGGGACATTCGTGATAGAACCTGGATTTGCAGGTGACCATATTTCAAAGCCAATGACAAGGTATGCTTGGATTACAATGGTGTGTTTGGTGAACAAGATGTTTGATCTAGATTCCTTTTAATCCTTTCTCACCTCTGTCTACTTCCAGCCCAAGATAATCTGGATGAAGAACAAAATGGATATCAGTGGAGACCCCAAGTTTCTGCAGAAAAACAATCAAGGGGTGCTCACTCTTAGCATCCGCAAACCAAGTCCCTTTGATAGTGCAACTTACTCCTGCAAGGCTGTCAACGAACTGGGCGAGGCCATTGCAGAATGCAAGCTGGATGTCAAAGGTAACTGTCGAGTCAAAAAGAAATGGCTGGATGGCTCAGTGGTTTGGGCATCTGGCGGTGGAGCCAGAGGTTGGGAGTTTAATTCCCCACTGTGCCTCCTTGACAGAGGTTGGATCTGAGGATCCATAGGGTACCATCCAGCTCTGCAGTTTTATCAGCATCATGTCCAAAGACTGCATAAACAGATTACAATGTTAGACGTGATAGAATGGCAAAGTTAGTGCAGTGGTCATTATACACAAAAATATAACATGCTAGCCTCCAAAAACCAGTGGGAACATCAAGTAGAGAAGGTGCTAGAAAATAAGGAAGTCAAGATCTTGTGGGATTTCTGAATCCAAACTGATAGACACATTGAACATAACACACTGTCATCATAGGCATCCTTCAGTCTTGAGAGACTATGGTAACGTGTTCTGTATGGAGGACTTGGAACAGTGTCTAGTGTTTTGACGCTGTATGTGAAGCTGGAGTGTCCTCTCCAGGGCATGAAGCCTGGTTAAAATAATATGGAGGATAGGCTGTTACCCAACCAGCAAATCCCCTCTCTCCACGTCTCCGAAATAGTCCAATGGAAAGGCAAGAGTCAATACAACTGGTTTCAACGATGTCGCAGGATTTGACAGAATGACACGAACTGCCTCCAGGACTCCATCTCCAGAACATAACACACCAGACATAGTAGTAATAGAATGAAGAAATATCTGGATCATTGACATTGCAATTCCAGGGGATGCCAGACTTGAAAATAAAGAATTGGAAAAACTAACAAAGTACAAAGACCTGGCAATTGAAACATCTTGTCTCTGTAAGAAACACATTCCAGTGGTCCTCGTAGTCCTTGGGGCTTTGGGAACAATATCAAGAAATTTCACACAGTACTTTAAGCAGGTGCAGATCTCAGAAATTACACTGTCAGAGCTACAAAAGAAGGGCAATATTAGGAACAGCATACATACTGCATTGATATTTAACAGATAGTTAAGTTTTTGGTTAAAACTTGAATCCATTATATAATACCAGTCAATGTTTTTATAATTTTGACTGTGCCTGGTGTTTTTGAATAATAATAATAACAATAATAGCAACAGGTTTTAGGACTCCCTCTGTCAACAGACAGGTAGTAACCACTACTAGGGCTCCGTTTCTTTTCATGCTTGGTTACTACTGACTGCTTCTGCTCTGTCAGAATTCTTTGTTGGAGCAATCCTTTATTCACTCACTTTTTATGGAGAAGGCAGACAATATCCTTCTTAGAGTAGCTAGCTTTCCAGTGTTTTGGAGTGTTGCCTCCTCCCCCCCCCACAGTTTTCCACAACTGGTTTGTGATACCTTTTTTTGCAATAAAATTCAATTGTGGCACCAGTGTCTCCAACAATATGAGCAAAAAATTATTCAGAAGCTTAAGGGCTATTGGGTTTTTAATTTAAAATGCCCAGCTTGTTCCCTCTGCTCCTTTTATTGCTTCCAGCGAGGACACCTTGAGGATTAGTGATTAACAGCCTGTTATTATGTAGCTTCTGTTCTTTTGGAGAATGTGTTGATTACGGATCTGATTCTGTCTCCCCTATCTGTTTCACTATGAAAGAAAGGAAACAAGCAGTGAAAAGGTGACCATAATTAGCCTCCCCCAACAAGGAACAGAAGATAACTAATCATTACAGGAGCTTTGCTGAAGGGGGCATATTTGTGACTAAACATTGCAAGAAGATCTTGGCCATAAAGAGTGGCATTGTTGGACGATGAAGGGTTTCATTAAGCATAGTGAGGGACTTTCCGTTTTAATTCCATTCCTGGTTAACTTGCAGAAAAGCAATGGTATAGCCATTAAAGAAAACTCTCATTGTGGAAGCAGCTGCAGTTAACAAACAATGATAATCCTTGCTTTTGTCTGTTACTGTCATCCCAGTTCCCTTATGTTGTGCACTAAAAGGTGTCTTACAAAATATGGCAGTTTTTTAAGCAAATCATTATCACCGGTATGGCATGCTAGTGGAAGAGGTCAGATGGTTGCTCTACAGAGTTTTAATAAACCATGCTAATGCCCTTTGAAAACCAGGGTTAACAATGATTACAAACAATGCCATGGGTAGATTAGGTCATAGGATGAACGAGATGCATACAAGGAACAGATGACTCAAGAGCCTAGTTGCTTAACTGACGAGTCTGCATGCTGTAGATAGGACAGTTGAGCAAGGATCAATTTCTCAACATGCTTTAATCTCTGTGATGTGTGAAACAATAAGATGGTCTAAAAGAAAAGGGAAGTCAGCTGTCTCCCACTGACCCCAGTCATTTGCTAATGCTGGTTAGTGGGATAGGCTGCTGCAGAGATGCTAAGCAGATACGTAATAGATTCCGTATAGGGTTAGGAGGCACTACTACCCATCAGTCCAGAATAATGATTGTTGTGTTTATGCCTATGTAGTAGTAAGAACCCTCACTGCAATTTAAGCACATACGTAAATCACTGTCTGTATCCATCCAAGGTATGTATTTTCCTACCATGAGACGCCCAGTCCATGGGCATCTAGCAGAACAGAAGGACCAATAAAATGGGGAAGGCAGGTGAAGGAGCGTGGTTTGCTAAAGCTTAGCCCCAAGTCCAGTTTCTAATAATGAAGCTTTGTTCAGAAACTGAAAAAGAACAGGAACTGCTATCTGAGTACAGCTTTCTCCTGCTTCCTAGCTTATTTTAGTCACCAAGTCCATGTAATGTGGAGAAATCCTCCCATCTAAACAGTAGATGTATGTGCTCACAACTCATTGTGCCCTGCAAGGGTGCAATCAAATCAGGAATCTTCATTTTGGTCCATTTAGTCTTCTGAGTACTGTATTTGTTGTATAGGCTCTTTTCCTAGCCAAGACTTTCAGGAAAACCTTCTGACATGTGGTCCCAACAGGCAGTTGCTTGAGCCCTGGGTACTTATCTCCCTTCCCTGCAGTCACATGTGCCCCTAGATGCCCCCTTACTGGTTTGGAAGGGAGACTTCCTCAACAAGGTGCCATGGGGTGCAAGATGCTATTGGGTGGAAGATAATTTGCCCCACATTTGGCTCGGGTGCTAAAATAGTCTAGGATGTCCGTAACAGCACTTTGCTTACCGAGCCTTTTAGGGAGCAGAGGTTGCTGCACAAGGGCAGAAGGAATGGGAAAGTTTATTTATGCAAATATCTTTATGTGAACGTAATCTTATGATCCAGACTGACCAGTTTCAAGCTGGATGGCCCTTTCTGTTGCTAGAGATGGTTTTGGGGGATTCACACTTCCTTCCTGCATCTGCACATCAGTGGATCAGAGTGGCGACTGTTCCGATAAAGACGTAAAACACATTTTGGCTCACACCTTTTCACTCCCTAGCAGTAGAGCATGCTGACAAGAATTCTTCTTTACTCCTCTTTTTTTCTTTTTCACCCCAATAGCACCACAGTAACCTTGTTGCCACCATGCACAGAAGAGGTGAGTATCCCATAACTAACTTGCCCATGCATGTGGAGTGTGTGTGCGCCAGTAGCCCCTGGGATCCCACATGTGAAGACCTTTATAGAGCCAGGAACAAAAGCAACCACTGCAGACCGCAGAACTTGGAAATCAGGGCTGGATCTTGGGAGAACAAATGCAGAGCAGCTTTTCACTCATAATGAAGAGCACCAGATTAAGTTTGGCATGAGAACGTGAAGTGGGGCGGGGGGGGATGAGGATGAACTTCAAAGCAAGATGTGACAGGAGGAAGGCATATAGAGTATAGACCACAACTCTCAGAATTCCCATTTTACCAAGACCTGGAAGAGGGAGTTGGTTTGACTGTGGTGGGCCGGAGTGTATAAAGTGCTTTATTTTGCCAATCCGAATTGTAACCTCCCTATCTTGGACAAGAACCGCCCACTTTGATTTCCTCCTCTGTTTTCTCCACAGCTTATGAAAAGCCCCCTCCTTTTTTCTCCATGGCGTCCCTTCCCACTTTGTGCCAATGCTACGGGGAGCCTGGAAGTGTCTGCCTCCCCCCTCTCCCCCCACCCCAAAGATCCCACATCTATCATGTGCTTGGATAGGAGCTACCACAGACCAGCCAGCCCACTCCTGTATCCGTCTGTATGCGTGTGTCTATGTGGTCGGTTGTTGTGTCAATAAAGTCATCCTTGACGGGATCCTCTGCGCGTCTGTCCCTCATTTTTGGAAAGGGGAGTCCAGAAGGCTAAAGTTGGGTAGGAGACTCCTCCAGAGTTGGTCCAGGCAGGCTTGGCGTAGGGGGAAGCTTGGCCTGGGCAAGATTGACTTGGGAGATCAGCATAAAACTTTTATGTTCA